CTCTCTCTCCCTTCCTGTGAAATTAAAAAAAATAAATAAGTATAAAAAAAGAATTGGGAGACTGATTTTTCAGAGCTGAAAGAACTCAAAATAAATTTGGCAGCTTCTGAGAATAAACTTGTTTCACCCTGCCACCTGCTACACGGAACAACAGATCTGACTTCAGGGGATATTTTCGGAAGCCAAGATTACTTCCTTTGGATGCCTGCCACATAAAATAACTCTACCCCAAAGAGCTTTTTGGACATGCCACCATCCATGTAGTACAGAAATATTTAATTACTGGAATTTAGTTAATTGGTCATGGTTGAGCTGGAATGCTGAATTAACCCCAATTTTTTCCTTTAAAGAGTTTATTTAGAAAGTATCATGCTATAAACAAATTGATGGCAAAGAACATACACTTAGCTATCTCAAGGGAGCCTCGGCTTATTGTTGCTTATTTCTAAAGGTGATAGTAAAAATGGCATGAATTAGAAGGATGCTAGCATTGAAGGTAGGTAGCATGGCCTATTTTTTGCTCTGTCTCAGCCCTGCCTACTTCCTTCTTTGTTTTTTAGGCCAAGTTAATCCCACTATTTTTGGCAGAGTAGTTTTATTTTATTTATTTATAATGCATTTTATTGATTTTTTTACAGAGAGGAAGGGAGGGAGGATAGAGAGCTAAAACATTGACGAGAGAAACATCAATCAGCTGTCTCCTGCACACCTCTCACTGGGGATGTGCCTGCAACCAAGGTACATGCCCTTGACCGGAATCGAACCTGGGACCCTTCAGTCTGCAGGCCGATGCTCTATCCACGGAGCCACACAGGTCAGGGCAGATTCGTTTTATTTATCACGTATGTTAATACTGTATTTACTCAAAAATAATAATTTAATAAAAAATATAAAAAAAATAAAATAAAAACTAGTACTTTAAAAAAATACTGTATTTACTGCAAAACAGTCACAGAAGAGCAGGCAGCAGGCAGGGACTAGCAAGGCAGGGTTAGGCTAGCATCTAGCACACAGTAGTTGTTTAGTGAGGACTTGTCACTACTTCTGAAATGCCAACTTTTGGCACAGTAAACTGACAGTCACTTTTTTTTTTTTAATATATTTTATTGATTTTCTTACAGAGAGGAAGGGAGAGAGATAGAGAGCTAGAAACATCGATGAGAGAGAAACATCGACCAGCTGCCTCTTGCACACCCCCCACCGGGGATGTGCCCGCAACCAATGTACATGCCCTTGGCTGGAATCGAACCTGGGACCCTTCAGTCCGCAGACCGATGCTCTACCGCTGAGCCAAACAAGCTTTGGCTGACAGTCACTTTTTATGTAGATGCCTATTTTGGGTGCCACACTTCACTTTGAACAATTAAGGATTTTATTCCACTTTTGTTGTTTTTGTGACTTGCCTGAGTTAAAAGAATAGTCAAGACAAGCCTTGACTTAAAAAAAATTTTTTTTCTCCTCTCCCTAGTTACCTTTAGAAGTTAGGTGTGGGCCCCTCCCCCAGAGCAGAATAGTATTCTTATTAGAAGTTCCTAAGACAATCCAGCATGCAAGCTGATGGGACACAGCTAAGAGGCAGCCATGACCTAAGGGTAACATATCCCATAGCTGTTGCTCCTAGCAGCCTGCGGTCACCCCTTAGCTGCCCTCTCCATTAAGCCCATTAATAGGCAGGGTCCTCATGTGCTTCCCAGCAATGCTTTTACCGGATTCCCTGCGCCAGTAGCAGTGGACCTGCATGTTATTCTGCAGGTGCGACCAGATCTTTTTATTGGCCCTCGCCTTGGTCCTGGGTCTTACCGTTTCCGAGACAGCCCATGGCGGCGCGGGATGGAGGGGAGGGGAGACAGGAAGGTGGGGGAGGGGGAGACAGAAAGGAGGGGAAGGGGAGACAGGAAGATGGGTGAGGGGAGACAGGAAGGAGGGGGAGGGGGAGACAGGAAGATGGGTGAGGGGAGACAGGAAGGTGATGGAGGGGAGGGGAGACAGGAAGGTGGGGGAGGGGGAGACAGAAAGGAGGGGAAGGGGAGACAGGAAGATGGGTGAGGGGAGACAGGAAGGAGGGGGAGGGGGAGACAGGAAGATGGGTGAGGGGAGACAGGAAGGTGAAGGAGAGGGACAGGAAGATGGGGGAGGAGAGATGGTTTGGGGAGGGGGGATGGAGGAGGGGGGATGGGGAAAGAAGACAAGAGGGGAGGGCAGGGCTGGGGAGGGAAGAAAGGCGGGGTGGGGGCTGGGGAGACTTGACAGGGGCTCTGCACTTTGGGAAAGATAAAATATTACAAGGGGGGGGAGGGGGATGTACTGACGACTGCGGGCGGCCTGCGAGCAGCCCCGGAAGGGTAGTACCGGTGGGCCGGAGGGGAACGATCCGAGTGGCTCTCTGGAGCAGATGCCAAAGGGGCTGGGGCTGTCTGGGCAGAGGCAGGGCATAGCAGCTGCTCTGGTGCCGCTCTTCACGCAGGGGGCTCTTCACGCAGGGGCCGGCTCCGCCAAGGCCGGGGGTGCACAGTGAGCCTCTAAGGACTGCCCAGGACGGAACCGAAACTGCTTTCAGATAGGGCCTGCAGGGAGGCCGCAAGGCTCCCGGGGCGCCCACAGCAGGGCCTGGAGAAGCTTCTCCAGTCCTCTTACCCCAGAATCTCTCGATGAGTTAACAAAACAGTCACCACAAGCCTTTTGGACCTTCCTATGCCCGCGTTTTCCACGGGAGACCTCAAATCTTAAACATGGACTTAAACAGGTTAAAAATCGTTACATGGACCTGACTTCATATTAACCTAACTAAAGAAACCTTCCACTCATGAGAAATAAATAGAAGTCTCCCTTGAACAGTATTTGACAAATATCGACACCCATAAGATGATGGCATCAGCGCTATAAGGTGACCAGACGGCCCGATTTTTAACAATTTGTCCTGTGTCCCGCAGCGCTTTAAAAAAGTCCCGATTTTTGGAAAGATTAAAATCGGGACTTTTTAAAAATACATTTTATTTATTTTTTACAGAGAGGAAGAGAGAGAGATAGCTAGAAACATCGATGAGAAACATTGACCAGCTGCCTCTTGCACAGCCCCTACCGGGGATGTGCCCGCAACCAAGGTACATGCCCTTGACCGGAATCGAACCCGGGACCTTTCAGTCCGCAGGCCGACGCTCTATCCACTGAGCCAAAACGGTCTCGGCAAAATCGGGACTTTTTTAAAATGCCCCGGGATGCGGGACTGCCCCGCAAAAAGCGGGACGTCTGATCACCTTAGCATTATCTTACCAGGCACGGGTGAAGTACCATTGCTTTCAGCATGGCAAACCTCTCCTGGTGAGAGCAGAATTAACAGAAACAACATCCACGAGTGGCTATGAAAATATCTTCCAGAGGTATGGGGTTTCAGTGTTTTTAAAATCTTCCCCGAGCAACAGACTAACCACAGTATTAATAAGTCAATGTGACCTTCAGATCAGAGGAATATCAATACTGCCACACGGCTACCTTTCCAGACTGCTGCTTTTTGAGTATGCTTTCACCAGTGTCACTGAGGAGGCAAAAAGAGTCCAGCAATTTCATTTCCAACTCTACTGTAGTCTCAAAGAAAACCATTTCAATTTCATCAAGAAAGTGAAAGGAGGTGATTGCCACAGAAAAGAGTTTGCAAAAGGATCATGAGTTTCATTTTTAAAGAAACTTAATGAAGAATCTGTAGTGTGTTGGCAAAAAAAAAAAAATCACAAATTTAATATATTCACCTTTCTGAATAGCCACCACTTGAACCACAGTAATATCTGCATGATTTAGCTCCTGCCAAGGCCAGGCAGGATAGGAGACTCACGCCTGCATTTTTTTTTTTTTTAACTCTGTTTAAAAATATATTTTATTGCCGAAACCGGTTTGGCTCAGTGGATAGAGCGTCAGCCTGCGGACTGAGAGGTCCCGGGTTCAATTCCGGTCAAGGGCATGTACCTTGGTTGCAGGCACATCCCCAGTGGGGGGTGTGCAAGAGGCAGCTGATCGATGTCTCTCTCACATAGATATTTCTATCTCTCTCCCTTCCTCTCTGTAAAAAAAATCAATATTTTTAAAAATATAGTTTTAATTGGTTTTTAAAAAATAAATCAATAAAATATTAAATATATATATATTACTGAATTTTTTTTTTATTTTTTTTTTACAGAGAGGAAGGGAGAGGGATAGAGAGAAACATCGATCAGCTGCCTCCCGCACACCACCTAACTGGGGATGTGCCTGCAACCAAGGTACATTCCCTTGACTGGAATCAAACCCGGGACCCTTCAGTCCTCAGTAGTCGATGCTCTAACCCACATGTGTCAAACACAAGGCCCGCGGGCCAAATCCGTCCCGCCAGGCCTTGCAATGTGGCCCGCACCGCGCTGTCATCACTGCACTCCGCTGCATTTCCATCACAATGACAGTTTATGACTGTTCAGTAAACCATTAGGCCCGCGATTTAGGCTGGATTTTAGATTTTGGCCCCTTCTCTGATTGAGTTCGACACCCCTACTCTAACCACTCAGCAACACCAGTTAGGGCACTGCTCAACTTTTTTACTGCTGATGCCACATCCGGCTCCTGGGCCCTGGTGCCCCAGTGCCTGCCGCTACTATGGCCAAACAGCAGCAGCAGCAGGGTAGCCGGGTCCAGTGGCCTGGGCAGCGCTGGGAGGAGGTGCCCAAGGCCTGTGGGCATTTGGTGGGGCTGGCGCATTCTCACATGGCAGCGGGTCCCTTCAGTGGCACCCACTTACCACGGCGCAGAGCACACAAGTTTTTTTTTGTTTGTTTTTTTAAACACAGAGAATTAGATTCTAGAGTCCTGAAATGATGTAATGAAATTAGAGGTTCACTACCAATATTTATGATAAAAGAAACATCCGTAGTAGTATGCAATTCAGCAAGAATGTTTACTACTTCGGGCCTATCTAAGATTTGTGAGTGGCAAGTCCTGCTGCTTGAAGCATTACGTTATGCAGAGAGAAATATACGCACCTCTGACCGGGAAGCTTAGCTGCTGCAGTGTGGCCGCGCTTATGCAGTAACCAATCTGGGGCTCATAGGCGATGGTGTCTAGACATTCATTCCAATCCTGTACGTTAGTCACGGGACAATCCTGGAGATGGGTGACAAGGTCTCCCACAAAAAGACCTCTGGGGCCAACTGCAGGCGAGTCCTTGGGAAAAAGGCAAAAACAAACCAGATAATGTGTGAAAACAAGCTATGACTAATCTGAGCAAATAATCGTTAAGGACACTGAATTGAATAAGTGGACTGTTTGAATAATACACAAAACAATCCAGCTTTGACCCCAAGATGTAAAATACTACAAAATTAAAACAAAACACAACGATGATAGTTACTTTTCCTACTCCTACAAGATTTTGGATTTTTTGCAACTGAAAAAACAAAAACCCATTTGCCAACCGTTAAGGTTAAACTAGTAGTTTTTGGTAAACTGCTCATTATTTTTTTTGTGTGAAAGTAGTCATCAAAATGCCTTCATTTTCCTGTCTTCTGTGGATGAAATTGTAAAAATCCTTATTTGAACACAGTTCCAAACATGCAGATGATACTGTCAGCACAATGAATATGTGAGCCAGTTGCCCAGGATGGCAATTTCCCTCTTCCCTAAGTCTGAATAGAAGACTCCATGCTACCTCAGTAGTTATTAAATAAGGCCATAAAATACAGAATTGAAGACCTAAACTCCCGTGAAATGTTCTGGCAAGCTAGCTAGCCTAGGTTTCAAATGACAAGAGACCTTTTACCCAAAAAACAGAATGATAAAAATAAAACAGTAAAAGTAAAGGACATATTTTATCAACAAATGACAGGTAGAGAATCTTTATACAATCTTTGTAACTCAGAACAGAAACAATTTTTAGTGTTTCTAGAAAGATAACGTATTCCACAAAACCGTCTGTTCAATTTGAAAGGATTGGCAATGATTTCTCCAGGAGAGACGGAGCATTCTGTCTCTGAAGAGAACCTTGTTTTAGAGAGAGAACGGAGGGAGGGGGAAGTGACAGAGAGAAACACGTGTGTTAGAGAAACATCAACAGGTTGCCTCCAGCATACGCCCGGACCGGGGCTGGGGATTGAGCCTGCAACCAAGAACCAAAGTACGTGCCCTCGACTGGAATCAAACAGGGAACCCTTCAGTCTGCAGGCTGACACTCTACCCACTAAGCCATACTGGCTAGAGCTATGAGAAGTTGATTAAAAAAGCACCTGACATAAAATTGTTACATCACAAAATCCGGTTAAAAAAAAAAAAAAAAAAAGCCCAAGTAATCCATGATTTACCTCCGCAACTTCAGTGATAAGCACCCCAACTCCAGTGTAGTAAAAGGGCAAGAGGATCACAGGGAGGAGGACAAGAGCTAAAATACCCAAGAGCGCAAGGACAAAATTATGCCAGATACCTGAAACGAGAGAAAAAAGGAATAAGCGGAACCAGGGGCAGGAGGGACACAGGTATTGTACTTGGACTCATTAACACCTGGGCTTACGTAACCAGAAGAACAGCTTCTTGTAACAGATCTACTTATTGGTAGAGTAGACGGATGTTCAGTTAGACGTCTCTTCCAGTTCGTATATCAAAATGTAAAATAAGCATGTTAATACCATATTAAAAAGACCACATGCTAATATGATTTCACACCAATAAAATATACATCCTATTATACCTGATGTACATATATATATAACACAAACAGAATATCTACTATTTATTAAAGCCTCTTTTCAGAAAATGTATATATTAGTAATGTAAACATACTTGTGATATTTTAAAAATATATATTTTTTGATTTCAGAAAGGGAGGGAGAGGAAAAAAGAGGGAGAGAGAGAAACATAAATGATGAGAAAGAATCATTGATCGGTTGCCTCCTGCATGCCCCACACTGGGGATTGAACCCACAACCCAGGCATGTGCCCTGACAGGGAATCCAGCTGTCACCTCCTGGTTCATAGGTCGACGCTAACCACTGAGCCACGCTGGAGCGGCTCATACCTGTGATCTTTGAAAAAAATGTTAAACTATCCACATAAAAGCTAAGATGGAATAAACATTCCTGCTGAACTGGGGTATGGAAATCCAAGTGGTATTTGGAAAAAGAGATTGTTTTAAGAATAAAACTATTACGGAGAATATTACTGACGGGCCAAATAGAGTATGTATCTACCATCATGTCACAGGCTATAATAAGGTGACCAGACGTCCCGATTTTAAACAATCTGTCCCACGGCGTTTTAAAAAAGTCCCGATTTTTGGAAAGAATCTTTAAAAAAACTGGGACTTTTTTTTGAAAATGCCGCGGGACTCGGGACAAATTGTTCAAAATCGGGACGGTCCCGCCAAAAGCGGGATGTCTGGTCACCTTAGACTATAACTACCTCCAGCATATATAGAGATGGTTGGCTAAACCGAGTGGAGTGCTGGAGTCTGTTCCTACCAGCCTGCCACAGACAACTATGTGCATCCCTTCCCAATGAGGGACTTCAGGCAGGCACCTTGAACCGAGGACCGCACATTGACATGACGTAAACCAGCAGAAGCTACATACCAGAGCTCCCTCCCCTCCCCTTCAGAGCCAGGTGCTAACATACACTAGCACCCGGCTAGGTAACCCCTCCCTCCACACCTATCCTTCACTTCTGCTGGTTTTTGTCATAGCACGCTGAGGAGCATGATTGCTAGTGGAGCAAGTCTGTCCTTCACATTACAGGATATTTAGCATTCCTGTCTCCATCCTTTAAATACCGTTATTACTCCCCTGTCAGACAGCCAATGAATACCTTCCCCCCACACATTCCAAGCATTCTCAGGAGGGTGATCGCATGGTAGTAAAGAACCAATATTCTGTAATGACAGAATGTAATCTAAAGACATTTCCCAGACTCTCAGGAAGTTGAGTATCCTTATAGGACTGTTGCGCCCAAGAGGATCAGAGTGGAAACTATGGGAATATCCCTGTCCTACTGGCTGGAATACAGACATAAGAGGGAGCTAAACCTGAGTCCATAACAGCAGAGCTAATAAGACAGAAAAGGCCCGAATCCCTCAAATTACAAAATTATCATATCAGCTGTGATTTACTTACATTTGGAATGTTTTATGGGAGTTTAAACCCGTTATTTTTAGTTATTACAGCTGCCAGGTACCTAGCTAACATGTGTTTACTTCATTCACACTGTAAGATGCCCCCCCCCCTTTTTAAAATATATTTTATTCATTTTTTTACAGAGAAGAAGAGAGAAAGATAGAGAGTTAGAAACATCAATGAGAGAGAATCATGGATCAGCTGCCTCTTGCACACCCCCTACTGGGGATGTGCCCGCAACCAAGGTACATGCACTTGACCGGAATCGAACCTGGGACCTTTCAGTCCGCAGACCGACGCTCTTTCCACTGAGCTAAACCTGTTTCGACCCCCCTTTTATAAAAATACATTTTATTGATTTTTTTACAGAGAGGAACGAAGAGGGATAGAGAGTTAGAAACATCGATCAGCTGCCTCCTACACACCCCTTACTGGGGATGTGCGTGCAACCAAGGTACGTGCCCTTTGACTAGAATCAAACCCGGGACCTCTCAGTCCGCAGGCTGACGCTCTATCCACTGAGCCAAACCTGTTTCGGCTCCCCCCTTTTTTGAGTGTTATAAGCTAAGAAGACAGAAAAGGCCTGAGCTGCCCATATCATATTGTAGAATTATCATATAAGCGCTGAGCTACTTAAAAGATCTGGAATGTTTTATGAGAGTTTAAGCCTGCTATTTTTGGTTATTACAGCAGCCAGACACCTAGCTAATGTGTTCACACACCATATTCACTTTGTAAGATGGATCCCCTCCCCCTTTATGAATGCTTTAAGTTGTTACATTCTAAGAATACCCAGAGCGTCTAGTCCAGGACACGAGTAAACAATATTTTCTGATCTATCACAGTTCTTTTAAAAACTACCTTTGCTTTTTCATTTATCAATTTTGGACTTTTCCCTTATCTGCACATTCATAGCTATCCCATTTCTTATCCACCACAGAGTAACCCATTTTTTAAAACATACTGACTTATAAGGTTCCCTACTAACTTTTTTCCCCCTACTTTTTCACACAATGCTTCAACAGCTTTGCTAATATTATTATGTACCTAATTAAATATGCATCTGTGAGGGTATGGAAAATTACACAGAAATGAAATTGTTGGGTCAAAAAATATGTGCATTAAAGTCGATCTCCAATGAGTTTGTATTAATTTATGTTCTCGTAACTGGCATTTTCCCACTTTCGAAACATCACCAAATGCTATCATAATTTTAGACTTTGCCATCTGCTAGGTGAAAAGTAAAATCTTTGCTCTAATTTCTATTTTTTTTTTTTTAATCCTCACCGGAGGATAACTTCCCATTGATTTTTAGAGAGAGTGAAAGAGAGAGGGAAAAACAGAAATATCGATGTGAGAGAAACATCAATTGCTTGCCTCCTGCACAAGCCACAATCAGGGCCCGGGCTGGGAAGGAGCCTGAACTGAGATATGTGCCCTGGACAGGACTCGAACCTGGGACCCTTCACTCTATCCACTAAGCCAGTGGTCGGCAAACTGAGGCTCTCGAGCCACATGTGGCTCGCCAGCCACGGTTTGCCGCTGTTGACTGAGTTTGCTAGGGAAAAACACTTAAAAAACATTTTAATAATGTACTGTCTTTAACCTGAAGTCAAAACTTCTGGGTAAGGATAATGCCTTAGCAGTGGTTGGCAGACTCATTAGTCAACAGAGCAGCCAGTTGGCCGACCGCTGCACTAAGCCAAAACAGCTAGAACTTAATTTCTAGTTCTTTAATTATGCGTGACTTATAGTATTTTCATGTTTGTTAAAAGGCTATTTCTATTTCCTTTGTCTGAGAACTACATCCATTCCCTATTTACATTTTTTGACTTGGTTTGTGTTTTTATTTTAAACTAATTTATATATAGTATTGTTTGCAGTGTATATATTAAGAAATTTGGCCTTTTGTAAGAGGCATTTAAATTTTTTCATCCCGGGTATTGTTTGGCTTGGTTTATAGGTTGCCTATGCAGACATCTTATTATATTTTTAAAAATATGTATTTTTATTGATTTCAGAGATGAAGGGAGAGGGAGAGAGAGACAGAAACATAAATGGGAGAGAATCATCTATCGGCTGCCTCCTGCATGCCCTCGCTGGAGATCGAGCCCACAACCCGGCATGCCCCCCTACCGGAATTGAACCCGGGATCCCCCGCCAACTCCACAGGTCGAGGCTCCATCCACTGAGCCAAACCAGCTAAGGTACAGACATTTTAAATGTTGGTGTGGTCAAATTGCTCCTTTGTACTAAGCCTTTCCCAGTTCAATATTATAGAAGATATCTGTGTTTTCTTGTATTACTTTCATAGCGTCATTTAAAAAACACAATCGAAACAAACCAACCGAAAAAAACACTAATTCTCTGACACACTGAAATTTACTCTAATGAAACTAATTTTGGAATCCCGCTATAACCCAGCACTCACCAAGATGCAAGTCCCAACACAATTCCACAAAATACTCCATTCCCACTGATTAGCTTTATGATCATTACCATGCACTAAATTCAGCTCTTCCTTCCAATCCAGGATGAAAAAGTCTACCAGGATTACCCAGATGCTGGCATCCTCATTAACTCTCCCTCAGAACAAATCAGGGGCTAATTCAGCAGCTAATTTCCTGATTATTTTGGCAACCTCCTCTCTCTGGACAGGGACCCCTCTCGAGTCCCAATTTGCCCATAATGGTTAAGAAACAACAACGGTGGTTGAAAACATGCATTTCCTTTATTTAAACAACCTCTTATCCATTAATATTTACAAGTACATGAAAGGAATCCATAACAACTTAACTTTCTCTAAAGCAGGTTTTCTTACTATTGGCATTTTGGGGCAGATAACTCCTTATGCACTGCAGGATGTTTAGCTTCTACTCCCCAGATGCCAGTAGCATCCTTCCTATTTTCTAACTACAGTATTTATACAGGCAAGTTTTTTTCCTCTTTATTTAGAACTGGTATTTCACTTTTGCCTTTTCTACTACATAAGCTATACCTATCAAATATTTAAGAAGTCAATGTACAAACAATACAACTACTATTGAGCAGCACTTTCTAAGAGAAGCAAAGAAACTACACTAAATGATACTACTTGGCAGTATTAGGAATAAAATGACTAAAATGGGTTTAAATTGACTAAAACTATTAATCACATCTAATATTCAATACTACATATACATCATTCATGCAGCTAAAAGATAGTTATGCAAACTACGTTAATACAAAAGAATACAACCAAGATTAAGATAGCAAATAAAACCTATATAGCCTATTTTTAAACAAATAAAACCTACATGGCCTATTTTTAAACAAATAAAACCTATACAGCCTATTTTTAAACAAATAAAACCTACATAGCCTATTTTTAAACAAATAAAACCTATACAGCCTATTTTTAAACAAATAAAACCTATAGCCTATTTTTAAACAAATAAAACCTATACAGCCTATTTTTAAACAAATAAAACCTACATAGCCTATTTTTAAACAAATAAAACCTATACAGCCTATTTTTAAACAAATAAAACCTATAGCCTATTTTTAAACAAATAAAACCTATACAGCCTATTTTTAAACAAATAAAACCTATATAGCCTATTTTTAAACAAATAAAACCTACATAGCCCTCCTTCAAGCCTCTCTCATGTCTTCTTCACCAATCCTGTGGCCAAGTTATTGGACTGACAGGATGCCCTATGTTTTATTCCAATTGGAACTCCGAACTCTCCAACATGAGGCATCCACTTTCACCTGCTCCTGCCCTGTATTGATCCTTCCTTTTAGCTCTTATATTTTCGGTCCATCCCATGGGATTGGGAGTCTGGGAGTCAACGCCTTTTTATCCTTCAATAAAGTTTCTAAAGTGTCTGTAAAAAAACCCAAAAAAACCTACATAGCCTATTTTTAAACAAATAAAACCTATTAGCCTATTTTTAAACAAATAAAACCTATACAGCCTATTTTAAAACAAATAAAACCTATACAGCCTATTTTAAAACAAATAAAACCTATACAGCCTATTTTTAAAGAAATAAAACCTACATAGCCTATTTTTAAACAAATAAAACCTACATAGCCTATTTTTAAATAAGAAAATATAAGAAAGTACACGCATGACGGACGATTCACTCTCATCAACAAAATCCACCGTAAGCAAAGTTATCGACATCCAAAAAAATCCAAATCACCACACGTAAAATTATTAAACATATTCCCAAAAGCATAAACACGAGCATTTGGAAAAGACAGAACTTTAACAAAAGTCCCATTGTGAGCTCAGTCTCATAAAAAGTCTTTTGATGAATTAACGAAAGTCTACGCATTATCCTTTTGGAGGAATCAAACTTGACGAAACAGCATGCTTTTCGAATGACACTACAGAACATCATCGTACCTACAGCTGAACCTTTTTAACGTTAAACTTCTATTTTTCCTACTCTATCCGAACGTGACATCTTAACAGCGTAATCTTAGCCTTTGTACCCTTTGAATTTTTCTAAACGCATCTAGGAACACCTGGCCCCCGGGTCGCTCGGGAGCCAGCGAGGAGCTGTCTCCGTGTCCCCGGCTAGCCTTTCTTCTTGGTGTGCGTCAGGATGTGGGACTTGAGGTTGGTGGACTGCGCGAACTTCTTGTCGCAGCCCTCGAAGGGGCAGACGTAGGGCCGGTCGCCGGTGTGGATGCGCACGTGGGTGCGGAGGTTGAAATCGAGCGAGAAGCACTTGCCGCAGCCCTCGAACGTGCACCGGTAGGGCTTCTCGCCCGAATGCACGAGCTGGTGCCGCCGCAGCTTGGAGCTTTCCACGAAGCCCTTGCCGCACTCGGCGCAGATGTGGCCCTTGGGGCCGTGCGTGTGCAGGTGCTTCCTCATGGACGCCGTATCCCGGAACATCTTGCTGCAGCCTCTCTGCAGGCAGGCCACGGTTCTCGGGATGTCATCCAGGGGCCTTCTGGGCTTCATTCTGGTAAACTCGGCCAGCTGGACGGGATCGGACAAGTCAATGCCGGGTAGGCCGCCCGGGGGGAGTTTCTTCCCCGTCATGTACTCGGAGTAATCGGGAGAGAGGCTCGGCGGGCTCGCCGCGCTCTGCTTTTCCTCGGCCTCGTCTCCTTCGGCCGCGTCTCCTTCGGCCGCGTCTCCTTCGCCTACGGGAGACCACATGGCGACGGAGAACTCGCCCTCCAGGGTGCGGATCCGCACCCGCTTCTGCTCCCACTTCCTGCCGCCGCCCTCGGAGCCGCCGCCCGCTGCCCCGGCCGCGCCCTTGGCGGGACGCTTCTTACCTTGGCCGCCGGCTCTGTCAGTGCGGCGGCCGGCGGCGCTCGGCGGGCTGTGGCTGCGCTTTTTGGGCTTTTCGTCGTGGCCGCTGAGCTTCTGGACCTTCTTGCCGGCCGGGGCGGCGGAGGCTGACAGGGAAGCCAGAGTCCGCTGGAAGCAGACATAGTCCTCGTCCTCGTCGTCGTCGTCGTCGGAGGAGGACGAGGACGACGAGGATGTTGAGGACGACGAGGACGAGGACGACGACGATGATGATGATGACGACGACGACGACGACGACGACTCCTCTTCCTCCTCCTCGTCGTCGTCGTCCTCCTCCAAGACCAGCGGCGGCACCGGTACCTCATGGCAGCTAGCCTGCTCGTCGTCGTCGGAGCCGGAGTAGCCCACCACCTCCTCGCGGGTCTGCACCTCGACCTGGTCCCCTTCGTCGGCGTTCGCCACGAGCGGCTGCAGCGCGATCAGAGGGGAGCTGTGGTGGCCGCCGTGGACCCAGTTGCCGCTGAAATCGGGAATCGCGACGGTTTCCATCGCTGCGGGCTGCGCGGGGATGTTCTCCACGGCCATATTCTCCACAGCCCAATCCCCCACGACGATATTCTCCACAGCGATGTTCTCTGTGGCCATGTTCTCCACAGCGACGTTCTCGGCAGCGATGTTCTCTGTGGCCATGTTCTCCACAGCAATGTCCTCCATGGCCAGGTTCTCTAGGGCGATGTGTTCCAGAGGGATGTTCTCCACGGAGATGTTCTCCAGAGGGATTGCCTCCAAAGAGATGCTACTCAGGTCGAAATTCTCCAAAGAGATATTGTCCAGGGTGAGACCGTCCAGGGAGAGGCCCTCCAGGTGGACCCGGTGCATTTCCAGATACTTGGCAGCTTCCTCCACGTCCTCGCGGGTGATATAGATGAAGTTATTGGAAGCCATGGCTGGGCGCCCTGAAGAGGCTTTCGCTGAGGCGGCGGCTTTCGCTGAGGCGGCGGCGGAGGCGGCGCGGCAGGCGGCGGTGAAGCTGAGGAGGAGGAGCGCGAAGCTGAGGAGGAGGAGGAGCGCGGCGCGGCTCCGAGCGGCAAAAGGCGCGAAGAGCAGGGGACGCGCGGTTTTAGGCATTAGACGCAGGGGATTCTGGGCATCCTGGTACCCAGCGCATGCGCGTCCCGTCACCCTGGAAGCACCCGGCCGGCGCATGCGTGCAGTCTGCGGTCGCCGCTCGCTCGTTCCGGTACGAGACGCCTCCGGCCCCTTCGCTCTGCCGACCCGCTATTGCTGCTTCGATATTAATTCTCTAACCAGGTACTTTAATATTTCTATATTTCACTTCCGTTTATTTTATCCATCTGTCTCCTCGGTGTATAACACTATGGGGGGGCTTTTTAATATTTATACTCTTTTTTTCCCCTCTTAATTGCACGGACCCACACTTTATAGATCGTTTGATAGTATTCGTGATAGTTGACCGTGGGATTGCTTGTCTTGTCCTTTAAATAGGAATGCCAACGTGACCAGACGTCCCGATTTTTATCAATTTGTCCCGCGGCGTTTAAAAAAGTCCCGATTTTGGGGAAGAATCTTTTAAATCTTTCGGATTTTTTTTTAAAACGCCGCGGGACGCGGGACAAGTTGTTAAAAATAGAGACGAGACTGTCCCGCCAAAAGCGGGACCTCTGGTCACCTTATTCTAAGTGCTATCTCATTAGGAAGCACCCAGCTATTTCTACTCTTAGTAAAGATTTTTGGGTTTTAGCCATTAATAGATACTGGATTTTATTAAAGGTTTCAATATCTGCTGCGAATGAGGATTCCCCTCCCCCTTAATGTTTAATAGCGATTCCCACATTCAAATAGACTAATATTAAACTATCCTTGCTTTGTTTAGATATATCATGCGATTGCAGATATTTTTGATGCTTTTATCTGAGTTATATTGGCTTAAGAAAAAATCTTAGTTTTTCTATGTGCTCTGGAAAGTTTATACTAAATTGGAATTAAAAAGAAAAATCGTTTCCTGCAAGATTTGAAAGAATTCCACCTATGAAACTTTCAGAGGCATCCTTCCTCAACTTTCTTAATTTCTCCCATTGTAATTAACCTGTGTATATACTTTTTTCCTCTCTTCTGTGGGCTTTATTTAGACTATTATTTTCTTAGTAACTATCCAGGATTTTGAAAATTTCTTTACAGAGATGAACAAAGAACATTTTTATAATTGTTCTAATTTTCTATCAGCTGTCATTCCCCAATCTGACTGCTAACTCTGTCTATAGAAGCTTTCTCCCATTGTTTAATCTTTTTCTCCTTCAAAGAACTAATGCGTGGACTTAACAGTTATAGTTTTTTATTTTTTCCAATTTCTATTTTCAAATTATTATTTTCTGCCTATATCCTTACAAATTATAATAATTTCTGAACTATTTTATAGTTTCTCCTCTTCTTCAGTTGCTTATCTGATTTACTTTCACTTATTTCATAACTACCTAAGGCAATGAATTTTCCTTTTAAATGTACTGCAATTATTGTTTTGAATAAAAATGGACAATTTTTATATACTAAGAGCATTTAAAAATAAATTATGGTACAGATTTTGACATAATTATTTTTTTTCTTATTAACAGCTTTTATGATCAGACTTTTTCATATCTATGTGCCAAATATTAAGAGGTAGGAGTCTCGTTTGTTACACCTGTTTTTATCTTTGTGCTTTCTCCATTTTCGTTTTGATGGTTTGTTACTTGGTACAGTAAGATTTACAGCAATTACATTTTCATTGTGGATTATACTCCATATGATTAAGCGCTCCTGTCTCATTTAAGGCTTTAGTCATATTTTCTACTCACATGGTATTTTCTTTTTGTTTTTATTGATTTTAGAGAGGAAGGGAGAGGGATAGAGATAGAAACATCAATGATGAGAGAGAATCATTGATCAGCTGCCTCCTGCACACCCCCCACCAGGTATGGAGCCCGCAACCCAGGCATGTGCCTTTGGCTGGAATTGAACCCGGGACCCTTCAGTCCACAGGCTGACGCTCCATCCACTGAGCCAAACCAGCTAGGGTCACATGGTATTTTCTATTCAACTCAGTGTACTTTGTCTTTTTAAAATTATGTTGGTTTTAGTTATGTTTTTTAAAGAAAACATTTTTATTGATTTCAGAGAGGAAGGAGGAGAGGGGAAGAGGGGGAGGGAGAGGGAGAGGGAGAAGAAAAGAGGGAGAAAGGGGTGGAGAGAGAGAGAGAGAGAGAGAGAGAGAGAGAAGAGAGAGAGATCAATTATGAGAGAGAATCACTGACTGGCTGCCTCCTGCACATCCTCTTACTGGGGATGGAGCCCACAACCTGGGCATGTGTCCTTGTCCATAATCGAACCCGGAACCCCCCAGTCCGCAGGCCGACACCCTATCCACTGAGCCAAAACAGCTAGAGCAGTGGTCGGCAAACTGTGGCTCGCGAGCCACATGCAGCTCATGAGCTGCAGATTGCTGCTCTGTTGACTAATGAGTTTGCTGACCATTGCCTTAGGGAAAAACACTTAAAAAAACATTTTGATAATGTACTAATGTCTTTAACCTGAAGCCAAAACTTCTGAGTAAGGGTAATGCCTTACACAGTGGTCGGCAAACTCATTAGTCCATATGCGGCTCTTGAGCCGCAGTTTGCAGACTACTGCGCTAGGGCTTGTTCTACTACTTTTGACTGAGATTCTTATAAACTGAATTTAAATGCTTTCATTTGTGATTTGAGTATTTTCCATAAAACCACTAACAACACATAAAGAATAAAAAAAATTTAAATCTGTTACCTGCACAAAATATCCTTAGCTGCTGGACCGGTGATATAAGTTGCAAATGAGTGGTAAACAGATCAACAAATGCTCCAGGATAAATAATGAAGAGGAAAATTCCAAAGCCATTAAATCGAACTTGTTCTCTAAGAAATTACATAAGAAAAAGAAATTTAGCACTAGTATTCACTTGTAAAATAATTAATGTATGTAATTTTAGTACTTCCCACTATAGTTCAGATTCTTATAGAAAAACAAGACTCTCTGGACAGTCAAAAAGTTATGCCTACATATATGATTATCAAGCTATCATTTATCTACATCTCATAATTTTACAATAACATACATATTTGGTCATTGATGAAATTACATTTTATAAAACGGCATTCTGAAATATAGACTTTTAACTTGAAAATTCTTAGAAATCAATATGCTGAACAAATAGCTTAAAATTAGTCATATATATATATATAGTTTAATATTTCTATGAGAAACTAAATAAAAAACATTTTTATGGCCAAAACCGGTTTGGCTCAGTAGTAGAGCGTCGGTCTGCGGACTGGAAGGTCCCAGGTTCGATTCCGGTCAGGGGCATGTACCTTGGTTGCGGGCACATCCCCAGTAGGGGGTGTGCAAGAGGCAGCTGGTCGATGTTTCTCTCTCATCAACGTTTCTAGCTCTCTATCTCTCTCCCTTCCTCTCTGTGAAAAGTCAATAAAATATATTTTAAAAAAATAAATAAATAAAATAAAATAAAATATATTAAAAAAAAAAAAAAAAAAAAAGGGTGAGTCCCTGCTTTCATGCTGGCAGGTGTGGTCAGGGAACTGAGTCATCATGTTTTAAAAAAAAAAAATTTATGGTTTAGTCTGAATTATTTACAGAAGACACAGTAGAAAATATAATTCAAGTACATTATCTAAATATTCATATTTGTCTTAGCTTTTATATTATTATTATTCTGTTAATCCTCACCTGATATTTTTTTTATTGATTTTTAGGAGTAGAAGGGAGGTGGAGAGACAGAGAGAAAGAAACATCTATGCCAGAGAGACATATTGATTGGTTGCCTCCCACACACGCCCCAACCAAGTCCGAGGAATGAGCCTACAACCAAGGTATGTGCCTGTCCTTGATCAGAATCAGAACCCGGGACCCTTCAGTATGTGGGCTGACAGTCTATCCACTGAGCCGAACTTGCTAGGGCTGTCTCTGCTATTATAAATTAAGGTAGAGGTTTATCTAAGTTTATTCATGTTAAACTAAGTACTGTTAAAAATGTATTATGCTCAGACTTTCCTTAGGAGAACTATATATCAATTCATCCTCTAAAAATGGAATTCTACTTAGCCTCATAAGACCAAATAGTTACTCTGAAAAAAGCATTATCTAAATACACTGTGCTATCACTTAGTACTAAATATATCAGAGGACTGTATAATTCACTTTATCTTGGCAGTTGTGATTTTATTTTAAAAAAAAATTAACCACATTATACTGTGAATTATTAAACTGTTAATAACAATGCTTTTATATGTAAAACCCTAAGGGCTGCAAGGCTAAAAAATGTGGAAGCAAAGGTGAAAGAGATTTTTAGTTTTTTTTAAATATATTTTATTGATTTTTTACAGAGAGGAAGGGAGAAGAAGAGGGACAGAGAGCTAGAAACATCGATGAGAGAGAAACATCGACCAGCTGCCTCCTGCATACCCCCTAACAGGATGTGCCCACAACCAATGTACATGCCCTTGACCGGAATCGAACCTGGGACCTTTCAGTCTGCAGGCTGATGCTCTATCCACTGAGCCAAACCGGTGTTGGTGAAAGAGATTTTTAAAAAGGTAGCCACCCACTTAAACCACTACACAGCACATCTGTGTGGCAGTATGTGCTCTGTGACAATGAGGATTATTGCCAATCTATAGACTCTTGTTCATAAGCAAGTGGAAAGTAATAAGAAGTGATTAAATCTTCTCCTCAAAAACCTTTAACCAGGTCTATATACCGAAGGGAGTATTTTAATACGTTTCTGTAAATACATCATTACAAAATAATTATTTTGTATTTTACTAAAAAATATTATTTACTAAATAAATTAAATGTATTAAATGTATTTAAAATGTATTAAACAACACATTCCCATTAGCATGTGTACTCCTTAGGCAGTAATTATCAGCGGGAGTGACTTGCCCATCATGATTTTATAGGTTTAGGAACCTTTAAAATAGCCAGCTATAATTACAATACATTTGGGTAGTCACAACAAAAGGAGGGCATGATACTTGAAGGAAGTCCTAGTTCTCATCCTCCCTTATCTTGTTTGGTGTTTTGATAGGCTGTGAAATTTGTTAACAAGCCCAGAGCTTGCTAATGTTCTTGCTCTAGTTAGCAGAGGCCAGGAGTTGAAGCAGGAAAGTATTTCAACTGATAAGCCAGAGAGAGTACTAAGAAGGCAATGCAAAGGTATCAGTCTGACCCAATGATGAACAGAAAGATTAGATTTCAGGATTAGATGAAAATCATGAAGCACCCTGAGGATAGAACTGTGCTGGTAGAGGGCAATGGACAGAAAGACCCGGATTATATTGTAGTTATACATACGATTAACGGAGCAGATTCATCACTATATAACTCTCCTCTGCGAAAGAGAGGCACCTCAAAATAATAATTACAGATATACACTGGGTAGCATGCACAGAAAGAAAATTATCAAATGTTAGCAGATTTTAGTAATAAAATCTCCGAAATGCAAGCTGCTTTGCATGTAGTAGGAATAAAAAGGTAAATAGCATTACCTAATGGCTGCTATCCCGTGTCCAATTTCATGTACGACACCGCTAATGAGGACTGCAGCGAAGAAATAGGTCAGTTGGTTGACGGGTAAATTTATACCGGGAACCTATAAATTTCATAGACACAATGATAAGCACACACTTGGATACCAAGAGAACATGATGTTCACTTTGTATTAAAAGCTTAAACTTCAAAGCTGATAGTTCTAAAAACTAAAAATAATGTGAATATCAATGGTTCATTTTTTTCATTTCTATCATAATAAAAGTAAAAACACCAGTCATTTTTTTTGAAGCAGGCCGCTTTTGAATTAAGCAAAATACCAATCTAAAGAGAACAGGAAACATCAGATTAAAAAGCTGAAACTTTAGCTTCCTGCAGTTTTCACCACCGGAAAGAATGAGAGAGCCTGGCAAAGTGCTAGGGGCCAGGGAGTGTGAAGTGACATTGCAGTCGGCTGGATGCCTGATGTGGGAATTCTTGTTACAGTTCCTAGTTCTTCCTCTGTTCCTCTTCAGTGTTTCCCAACGTGAGGTACGAGTACCCCCAGGGGCATGGGAAGAGTTTGGTGGGGGTACCCGTTGCACCGGAGTTTGGTGGGGATATGCACTGCACCGTGCTTAGCTGTGCCTAATTCTACGTTCTCATGAGTACGAGGGGTACTCGGTGTTACGAAAATTATAGAAGGGGTATACATATGTCAAAAGTTTGGGAAACACTGCATATTGTTATTGCAGGGTTCGAAGTACTTATGTGAATAATATAGGATATCATCACCCCCATCAGTGGATTTCCTTTTAGTATTCTCAAGTTATATGAGAGTTGTAAATTAAAGGTAGTGTAATAAAGCGCCTTGTTGGTGTAGGACTACTATACCCTCCATTACTTTGATTGCATCGGTTTGTCCAGTACATGGGTAGGAGCAAATATTGTATTAAAATTGTATTAAAATTGATATTCAATGCAGAAGGTATAGCATTTGGAACATTCATACATATTAAGGACCTGTGAAGAATGAGTTGTCTTGTGCCCTAACCGGCTTGGCTCAGTGACTAGATCGTCGGCCTGCAGACCAAAGGGTCCTGGGTTCGAATCCAGCAAGGGCATGAACCTTGGTTGCAGGCTCCTCCCGGCCTGGGCCCTGGTTGGGGCTCCTGCAGGAGGCAATCTATCAATGTGTTTCTCTCACATCGATGTTTCTCTCTGTCTTTCCCGCTTCCTTTCACTCTCCCTAAAATTCAATAGAAAAATATCCTCGGGTGAGGATTAACAACAACAAAAAGTTGCCTTTTTTTTTTTACAAAAAGTTGTCTTGCAAACATTTGCTCCTAAGATGTTGTATAGGTATTCAGCATTACATACACAAGGGAAGTTTGTGATTTAAAGGCTGCATGACAAATTATTTTATTTTTTAAAATATATATATTTTTTATTGATTTTTACAGAGAGGAAGGGAGAGGAGGAGCTAGAAACATTGATGAGAGAGAAACATCAATGAGCTGCCTCCTGCACACCCCCTTCAGGGGATGTACCCGAAACCAAGGTACATGCCCTTGACTGGAATCGAACATGGACCCTTCAGACCGCAGGCCGATGCTCTATCCACTGAGCCAAACCAGTTAGGGCTTATTTTATTTTTTAAACATACTTTTCATTGTTGATAGCATTACAGATATTTCCCATTTTCCCCTCCTTTACTGCCCTCTAAATTATTATTTTTTTAGATACCCAAGAATCTGCTCATAAGATAAATAATCACTCCCAAGTTATGTCAATTGTTGAGAGATTCTATAAATTAGGCTAAGTGGGGCCCTCCAGGGATTAATACTATACTGAGCTTCTATTTCTCACAGTCCAGGAGTTGGGACCCTGAAGGTATCCTTCTGGAGGAAATTCCTCCTTTCTATTAACTATTGTTTTAAATTAATAGACATAATAAAGTATGTCTAAAGCAGGAAAACATGAAAACTCAAAAGATAAAGAGAAGCCTTTAATCTTGTTCCCAGAACACAAAAACATTCTCAATGTTTTGATGCATGTCTATCTTTTCATATACACTTATTTTTTAAAATTGGGCTTTTATTATGAATACTAGAGCCCTGGTGCACGAAATTTGTGCACTGGTGGGAGTGGGGGGTTGCGGGGCGGGAAGGGGGTTCTCAGCCCGGCCTGTGCCCTGGCCCCATGATCGATCACCCACAGAAGGAGGCCCCGCCCACCTGCCGCAGCCTGCCAGCTGGTGGCCTGGGCCTCCCTCTGCAGGGCAATTGTGGGGTGATGGTGCTCCCCCTCCCCCCGCCCCCAGACCAATCGAATCGCACTGGCCTTGGCTGGCCTGGGACCAGTGCGTGTCACAGCATGGTTGTCCAGATAGTCATTTTGCTGTTCGGCTGTTTGGCCGGCTTACATATTACTCGGTTATTATTATAGATGGTTTTAAAATCTGACCCTTTCATTTAGTAGTTCCACAAAAATTTTCCCATGAGTATTTTCTGATTTAACATGTTTTTAGAGCTGCATTTTAACCTATGGAATAGATTGTTGGGCATTTAATTGTCTTTAAAAATTCTGCTTGTTTTGTTTTGTTTTGTTAATCCTCACCAGAGGATATTTTTCCATTGATTTATAGAGAAAGTGAAAGGGAAAGGGAGAGACAGAGAGAAACATCTATGTGAGAGAGATACATCCATTGGCTGCCTAATACACACAATGGGACGAGGGCCAGGGAACTTGCACCAAGGTACATGTCCTTGACGGGAATTGAACCCAGGACCATTCAGTCTGCAGGCTGATGCTTTCTATCCACTAAGCTAAACTGGCTAGGGCTAAGTTTCTACTCTCATAAACACTATCATAAACATAATTTGACACATATATCCAAATATTTTGGGGAGATAAATTATTAGACAAGCATGGTTGGTCAGGCTCCAGAGAAATATCACTTGAGTTAGACCAGTGGTCGGCAAACTGGGGCTTGCAAGCCACATTCGGCTCTTTGGCCTCTTGAGTGTGGCTCTTCCACAAAATACCACGGCCTGGCCAAAACCGGTTTTGCTCAGTGGACAGAGTGTTGGCCTGCGGACTGAAGAGTCCCAGGTTCGTTTCCGGTCAAGGGCATGTACCTTGGTTGCGGGCACATCCCCAGTTGGGGGTGTGTGCAGGAGGCAGCTGATTGATGATTCTCTCTCATCAATGTTTCTAATTCTCTATCCCTCTCTCTTCCTCTCTGTAAAAAATCAATAAAATATATTTAAAAACAAACAAACAACAACAAAAAATATTACAGCCTGGGCGAATCTATTTTGAAGAAGTGGCGTTAGAAGTTTAAATTTTAAAAATTTGGCTCTCAAAAGAAATTTCAATCATTGTACTGTTGATATTTGCCTCTGTTAACTAATGAGTTTGCCGACCACTGAGTTAAACAGTTTGCCTCTATCACTAAATAGCTAAGTGACCTGGAGAAAATTCAATTATTTCCCCACTTCAATTTCCTCATCTTTAAAATGGAAACAACCAAATTTAATAAGAGAGTAATTTTAAGGATTACATGAGATAATCCTTGTCCAATGTTTAAAATTATGCCTCACAGAAAGGGTAAACAAATGCTATTACACAAAATCTAAAGGACCTTCATACATACCAAACTGCTAACAGCAGACACTTCCATAACTTGGGCAAGCTCATTTTATTCAAATTGGCAATTTAAAAAAAATAATATATTTTATTGATTTTTTACAGAGAGGAAGGGAGAGGGAGAGAGAGCTAGAAACATCGATCAGTTGCCTCCCACATCCCCCCCACTGGGGATGTGCCTGCAACCAAGGTACATGCCCTTGACTGGAATTAAACATGGGACTTTTCAGTCCGCAGGCCAAAGCTCCATCCACTGAGCCAAACCGGTTTCTGCTCAAATCAGCAATTTGAGAGAAATACAAAGCATCCCGCCCTAGCCGGTCTGGCTCAGTGAATAGAGCATTGGCCTGCGGACCAAAAGGTTTCAAGTTTGATTCCAGTCAAGGGCACAAATCTCAGTTGTAGGCTCCTCCCCAGCCCAGGCCTTGGTTGGGGCACATGCAGGAGGCAACCACTCAATGTATTTCTCTTACATCGATGTTTCTCTCTGTCTTTCCTTCTCTTCTACTCTCCCTAAAAAAAAAAAAAAAAATCAATGAAAAAATATCCTTGGGTTAGGGGAAAAAAAAAAAAGAAAAAAGCATCTCATTGTTTTGATGTATATTTCATTATTAAAGCTGCACTTACCCCTACTTTTGACCCGATAGGTCTTTTGAGAGTAGCCTATTCATGATTTGCCTATTTTATTCTTTTAGAGTATTCATATTTTTCTTATTGATCTGTAAGATAACTTTGAATATTAATTATCAGTCCTCCCTAACACATCACAAATGTATTTACAAGTTTCTTTGCCGTTAGTTTTTTTAATATATAAAAATGTTATGTAATCAAATCTATTAATATTCCTGTTTTCTGCCATTAGTTTTATGGTTATGTCTTCCTTATTCTGTGTTCATATAAACAGAAACCGGTTTTTTTTTCTTTTCAAGATCTTTTATGATTTCATGTTTTAATTTTAATTCATTCAATTTTAGTTTATTTTTGTGTTCAACGGAGGAATTTCACTTTTTAAGTCCCCTTTAGTAACTGAAGAGGAGATTCAAACCATGCTGCATGGACAGCTTTCTAAATTCATTAGTAATTCCAAGTGTCTTTTCCTTAGTTTTCATAATTATCATTTTTGACGTATACATAAAATTTCACTGACAATCCCATAACTTATCCATTTGTATATTATATATTGTGGTTGTTTCCAGTTCTTCGTAGTAATAAATAATATTAGGGAAATACTACTTTTTAAAAAATATATATTTTATTTTTTGAGAGAGAATGGAAGGAAGGAAGACAGAGAAACATCGATGTGAGAGAGACACATCGATTGGTTGCCTCCAGCCAACACACTGACTAGGGATGGAGCCTACAACCAAGGTATGTGCCCTTGACTGGAATCAAACCTGGGACCCTTCAGTCCACCGCCTGATGCTCTATCCACTGAGCTACACCATCTAGGATGGGGAAAATACTACTTTTGATTAATGCTACTTTTCCCCTAAATTTAGACCACTTATGATGCTGATTATATAGTCCTCTTTACCCAGTCCCTACTCAACACCTCTTTTCAAGTACATCAGTGGATCTTTTTCTACATACCAGTTTCATTCCCATGTTGTGAGGCATCTTTCTGTTCGAATTAGTAGTTTCCTTTTCTCTGACCCCTTTCTAAATTTATGTACTGAAGATTAATTCTCAAACATTCCCACTATATCACAAAGTATCCTGGTTACTTTGCCTTTATGTCAAATAAATCAGTAGGCTTGATCTAATATAATAGGACAGCAGTTTTCAACTGGTGTGCTACAAGAATTTTTAAAACATGCAGTACCTGAGTATTTAATCAGGGGCACTGACCTCCTCCCTTAGATCGCCAAATAAAAAATGACAACAGCCGCCCTAGCCAGTTTGGCTCAGTCGATTGAGTGTTGGCCTGCGGACTGAAGGGTCCCGGGTTCGATTCCAGTTAAAGGCAGGTACCTCAGTTGCAGGCTGTATCCCCAGTCTTGGTTGAGGTACATGTGGGAGGCAACCAATCGATGTGTCTCTCTCACATTAATGTTTCTCTCTGTCTCTCCCCGACCCTTCCACTCTCCCTGAAAATCAATGGAAAAATATCCTCAGATGAGGATTAACAACAAAAAAAAATTACAACAGCCAACACAACAAAAGCTGCCTGGTGTGAATGCCTTGCCCTGAACCATATAAATAGGTCATCTTATTAGTCATGTCACATAATAATGTTGAGTCTGACTGGTTAATTCTTGGCATGAGAAATCCTATATAATAAAGAGTTAATATGCAAATTAATGCTCACACCCTTACAAGATGGCTGCCTATGACCAGGCCAGCAGGAGGATTAGTTAGAGGACCAAACACTGAACAAGCAGGCTGCATGGGTGACCTGGCCAGCAGGGGTAGTGAGGGATGAACACATGACCAGCAGTGGGCTGTGTGGGGCGACCAGGTCAGCAGGGGGGTGAGTGAGGTAGACCAAACAACTGAACAAGCAGGCTGTGTGGGGCAACCAGGCCGGCAAGGGGGTTAATGAGGTACGACCAAATGACTGAGCAGCAGGCTATGTGGGGCGACCAGGCCAGCAGGGGGGTTAGTGAGGTACGACCAAACAACTGAACAAGCAGGTTATGTGGGGCGACCAGGCCAGCAGGGGGGTTAGTGAGGTACGACCAAACAACTGAACAAGCAGGCTGTGTGGGGCGACCAGGCCAGCAGGGGGGTTAGTGAGGAATGACCTAGCGACTGATTATTTCAATAAAGGGGTGGGGTGATTAGGCTGGCAGGGGGCATTGGGAGGTGACTAGTCCGGGGGGTGGGGCAGTGAGGGACGACTAGGCTGGCAGGGAGGGACAGTTGGGGGGGACCAGGCCAGCAGGAGGGGGCAATTAGGGGCAACCAGGCTGGCAAAGGGGGGCAGTAAGGGGTGACCAGGTCGGTGGGGAGGGGGGCAGTTAAGAGCAACCAGGCCAGCAGGGAGGGGGCAGCTGGGGGCGACCTGACCAGCAGGGGGACAGTTAGGGTCGATCAGGCTGGTAGGGGAGGCAGTTATGGGGTACTAGGCAGGCAGGCAGATGAGTGATTAGGAGCTAGCAGTCCAGGATTGTGAGAGGGCAGTCAGACATCCCCCATAAGGTCCTGGATTGAGAGGGTGTAGGCTGGGCTGAGGGGACCCTCCCCCCATGTACAAATTTCGTGCACTAGACCTCTAGTATTTATATACAAGTATAAGCATCTGATTTTTTTTAACAGTTACTTCGGAGCAAAAGGGTAATTATTATTATTATTTTGGTAAATCAATCAAAATTATACTTACTTCTTTGTCAAACTGTCAAAAAATATTTTTTGGGTATGCCGCAGAATTTTAGTAATCATTGGTGTGTGCCACGAGATGAAAAAGATTGAAAATTGCTGCAATAGGACATTGGTTCTTTCTCTTTATTATTTTATAGATGTAACAATGAGGTAAGGTAAGGATCTGAGCATGTGATTATACCAACAGATGGTACGTCTTATTTGCTAGCAATAGTACGCGACTGCCCATCTGTCTTGGCCGTGATCAAATAGGGTATTAGATGTACCAGAATACTGATCTCTCAACAGCAGAGTGCCAGGTTTTGGGGAATGAATACTGAACCAGACTGTACGGAATTATAAGGTGAACAGAATGTTCTCTAAGCTACCAGAGCTCATATCAGAGTCAGGAGTTAACATTCTTAAACGTATATATAAATATGCACGGCGAACTACAGAGGGCAGTTGACTTCTTGCTTGTTCCAAAGCATGACTCTGAGCTCTATGGATAAAATGAGGAGCAAAAAGAAGAATTTATTTCTTTGCATAACATTTTGTCATTCTAATCCTAGCAAGCAGAAAGGATAATGGTCATATTTTCTCCAAATCTGCTTATTCCTATACTATTCTCTTCTTGGCAAACAATAACTAATTGAATATCCCCAGAGTTATCCTAAACTCTCTCTTCATTAGCCTCACATTCAATTAATGGTCAAGGCCTGAGAACTCCACTCCAATAGATACCTTGAATCTACCCCCTTCATTCTACTCAACACTAATTTAGTTTAGATCTTTATCACTTCTCACATGAATATTCCAACTGCCCTCTTAAATGGTTTCCCCATCTCACCTGCTTTGGTTCACTGTGCATAGACCTGTTATCTATAGGTAAAATCAAAACTTCTTAGAATGGCCTTTCATAACCCAGACCCTACCAGTGTCCCCCATCTTATCTCCTGTACCATACACCTTCCGCCATATACCTCCTAGACATAAGTCAAAGTTATTTTATAGCTGCTTGAAGAATTGCTGGTCTTTCTTAAGGGAGTAGGATGGCTCTGAGGTCAATGGTAGATGAGTGATGGGAACCCCCCCCCCCCCCCCAATTTACTAGCTGTGGCCATAGGCAAGTGACTTAACATCTCTGTGCCTTGGTTTTCTCATGTGTGTAATGTATCTCCAGATTGTTATAAGAATAAAATAAAATGGGCACAGAAACCTCACACAGGAAGCCCTGCACATTAATTAGGTTTTATTATTTTAAAAATATATATATTTTATTGGTTTCTTACAGAGAGGAAGAGAGAGGGACAGAGAGCTAGAAACATCAATGAGATAGAATCATCGACCAGCTGCCTCCTGCACACACCCCACTGGGGATGTGCCCGCAACCTTGACCAGAATTGAACCTGGGACCCTTCAGTCTGCAGGCCGATGCTCTATCCACTAAGCCAAACTGGTTTTGGCTAGGTTTTATTATTATTATTATTATTATTATTATTATTTCCTTCACATTTCCATGTTACATGGTTTCCTCTGTTACTGAGACACTCAGTTGCCATCTTCTTTTCCCAGGCTATGTGGATTCTCTTCACTCTTCCCTTGAAGCACTCCTCTACTCTCCCCCCAGTGGCAGGGCCATCTCAGCATGCCTTCTCTCTGTCCCACAGCACCTTCCGCTCTGTCCAACCATAACATAAGCATAGCAGCTCTCCCTCTGAACTAAAACCTCCATGACTGCTAGGAATGGATTCTGTTCCCTGTATAAGCAGGACTCAACACAGGCCCAAGAGGCAGAATGCACATATTAAATGTTTGCTGAGAAACAACTCATCTCTTCCAAGGCCTCACCTGGAAAATTAACTTCTTTTAACCTCTAAGAAAGAGCTATTATCATAGGGGAGTTTCTTTTTCTTAAATATATTTTTAGTGATTTCAATAACTCAATAAAGGGAAGAGGGAGAGAAAGACAGAAACATCAATGAGAGAGAATCATTGATCTGTTGCCTTCTGCACGCCCCCCATTGGGGATTGAGCCTGAAACCCGGGCATGTGTCATTGACTAGAATCGAACCTGAGACCTTTTAGTCCACAGGTCGCACTATCCACTGAACCAAACCGGCTAGGGTGCAGTGGAGATTCTTTATCATTCTCTATAAATGACTTCTAAATTTTCCCATAGTGATCCAGCCTATAGAAGCCACAAAGAGATGAGTTTAAAAAAAAATCTATCACTAACTCTTAAACAGTCTATTCTGTTAATAAGAATATGATTAAACCCTAACCGGTTTGGCTCAATGGATCGAGCGTCGGCCTGGGGACTTAAGGGTCCCAGGTTCGATTCCGGTTAAGGGCATGTACCTTGGTTGCGGGAACATCCCCAGTAGGGGGTGTGCAGGAGGCAGCTAATTGATGTTTCTCTTTCATTGATGTTTCTAACTCTATCCCTCTCCCTTCCTCTCTGTAAAAGAATCAATAAAATATATATTTAAAAAAAAGAATATGAGTAAAAATATAACATACCTGACTCATGGAAATGAAAACTACAAATTAAAAAATTTGAAATAAAAGTTAGCCAATGGAAAATCACTCTTCCAAACTCTAGAGCAGGAATTAATAAGGTATATAGGTTTACACAAGTGCTTTAAAATGAGAATTATTATAGAGTTCTTAAATCACCATGCTTAGTCTTTTATATTAACAATCATTTAACATCTCAAGACAACACATATTAAAACCCATGTAATCTTGATAGTCTTAATGATGGTCCATTTGTTCTGTTACCTCTATTATTGCTACTACTACATATTGCAGCAATTATTTGCTATATTCTTACTAATATTTTTGCTTAGGGAGATAATTTGAGAAATCATGCAACTTTTAATTTATTTTCATATTTAAATTACAGATTAGGAGTTATGTTATCCAAAAGAAATAGCTTATATCTATGTTTCAAAAGTTACTTTAAGCAAAAAGGTACTTACCACAACTTGTAGCACTTGTTCGTTGTGAAATGAGGAGGAGGAGGAAGAGGAAGAAGAAGAGGAGGAAGAGGAAGAAGAGGAGGAAGAAGAGGAAGAAGAGGAGGAAGAATAAGAAGTGGAAGAGTCAGCCATCATTTGTGCTAAAGTCTGCATCAGTGTTTTCCCCAGGAGAAAAAAGGAGCTAAACATGGCAATTACGCCAAACACCATTCCAAAATTGAACCTGTTAAAAGGAAAAAATTGCGTAAGCGTACAATTCTCTGTAATTCATGGGCTAAAAAATTCATTGACCAGGCACATTTCATAGCTTCAAAATGTGTAAAAAACTCCAGTACCCCTATCTTTTTTCTTTTATAAATTTTATTGATTTTTTACAGAGAGGAAGGGAGGGAGAGAGCTAGAAACATAGATGAGAGAGAAACATTGATCAGCTGCCTCTTGCACACCCCCTACTGGGGATGTGCCCACAACTAAGGTACATGCCCTTGACTGGAATCGAACCCGGGACCTTTCAGTCCGCAGACTGACAAACCGGTTTCGGCCCTATCTTTTTTTTCTTTTTTCTAAATGTAGTCAATTTTATTTCCTTACACCACAAACATCACTAGTTAGTCGTGCCAGGAGGTCCCGGCTGGGGAGGGAGCGGTTAGTCGCGGCCAGAACTCCTGGGGGGGTCTCTAAAACGCTAGGGCCAGGTTAAAAGATTTGGGGCCGGTCTGGTGGTGCTGGCAGGCCCCACCCCAAGTCCGGGGAAGGGACGGCCCTTAAGGAGGGCACCGGGCCCAGGCTGGCGGGGCGGCAGCTGCTACACAGGGCCCTGTCCTCAGGGCCCAAGGCGTGGGGCAAGGGCCTGCCCAGGAGCACCAGGGCCACCTCTCCGTCCTCCTCCTGCAGGCCGGGGCTGGGAGCTGGCTCCTGGCACCGCAGCTCCAACGCGAAGTCCGGGGACAGGTGTCCCGCGGAGCTGCCGGCCAGCGGGCTGTCTTCCAGGGGGGTGGGCGCGGGCGAGGGGCCCTGCTTGCGGCGGCCGTCCTGCTCCAGGGACTTCATCCTGGCCGCCCTCCGCAGCGCTGGCTTCTCGGCCTCCAGCGTGGGGACAGGGCCCGCTCGGGCGCCGGCAGCTCCGGGCTCCGCACGCGCAGCCGCTCCTGATGGCACCGCTCTGCCTTGGCCGTTCGCACCGGGGCGCTGCCTCCCAGGGGTGCCGGGGACGCGGGGAGCAGGCCTACAGCGGGGGCGCCGGTCCACGGAGGCTCGTCCTCCTGCTTCTCACTGTCCCGGGCCTTCCGGTCCGCGAGCCCCAAGGCGCTTCCGGGCTTCCTCCTCCTGCACCTTCCATAGGTCATCGGCGCCCACCAGGGACACGCGCTTGGGGGGGCCCTTGGCCTGGGGCACCCGCACCTCCAGCTCAAAGTACTTCTGCCCCTTTGGGAAGGAAGGCAGGCCGTGCGGTGCAGCTGGCATACAGGGTCGGGCAGCTGGGTCCTGGGGCGGGGACAGGGCTGCGGCAAAGGTCCGGTAGGCTCCTTTCACATCGAGGGCAGCTCGCAGACCCTATCTCTTTTTTCTTATCTGAACTCCAAATCTGTGATTGAAGCACAGGCCCTTGTCTATCTAAGCTGTTCTAATACCTGTTTCCCCGAAAATAAGACATCCTCCGAAAATAAGACCTACTTACAGGTTTCCTTCTGAGTGAAATATAAGGCATCCCCCGAAAATAAGCCCCCCCCAGGCTAAACATGAGAGATTTGGTCCACTGATTCTGAAAGAAATGGAGTCACAAGAAATTCACCAGGAAATTCAGGAATTGGATTGTTGTGATGATGTTCCAGAAGATGATGACATGATTGTCATTGAATAAATGAGTAAATTCTTGATACTGTAGGATTCACAGTTTGTCTGGTTTGTGTTGACAACTACCGTACTACCGTACCGTATATAGGTAATACATTTCCTTTATTTTCATTTAACAATAAATGTGTACCGTATTCTTCTTCATGGAAAAATAAGACATCCCCTGAAAATAAGACCTAGTGCATCTTTGGGAGCAAAAATTAATATAAGACACTGTCTTATTTTCGGGGAAACAGTGTAACTTAGATTTCTCTCATAACTGAAGCGGCTGAATATTCTTTCCAATAAAAAGTTTTGTCTCCTGTCTTTTGCTCATTTACATGACACTATTTTGCTCTTTTTCTCATATAGTTATGAAAGTTCTTTTGACATTATATAGACATTCTTTTTTATTTACTGATTCTATTATTTGCATCTTATTTTAGCTATATTTTGTGTTGAGCTTAAATACTAACATGGTAAAATTTAATGATAGTTTTTTTCTTTAACTGTTTTAATAATTAGAAGTTACCCTTGTATCTATTACATTTTCTAACTTGTTGATAAGTTGTATTTTTCAAGGAACTTGTCTATTTCATCTAAATAGTTAAATTTATAGACATAGAATTGTTCAAAATAATTTCATTTTTTAAAATGTCTACAGGATCTGTACTAATGTTCCATTTTTCAATTCTGATCTTTAGTTATGTGTATGAACTTTTTTTCTTGATCAGTCATGGTAGGGGGTTTATCAATTTTATTAATCTTTTCAAAGAATCAATTTTTGCTTTTACTGATTTTATCTATGATATACTTTTTATTTCACTTATTTCTGCTCTTTATTACTTCCTGCTTTTTGTTTTCTTTGCTTTGATTTGCTGGCACATTTACCGCTTTTCGATGATCTATTTACATTTGGAGCTAAATTTTTAACAAAAAGCAATTTAGACAATTGCCCCCAAACTCCCGTATTAGAAATTCTCTCAATTACAAAACCTGTCTGTCTCTAGGGTATTAGAGATTATCCGAAACCCCTTAACCATAAACGCTATATGTCCCATGATTTTTTAAATTTTTTTTTAACTAAAGGAATATGCTTGGATTGCAAGGACCCAACACTGCATTCTGGCTAGCCATTTCCCCACGTGGTTTGTGCATATGCCTTACTGGTTGTTAAATGTTTTTAAAACATTTGGAGGAATATCACACAAAAAAGTATAAGGGAAAACATGCAGACTTCTGGGTGACCTATGACTCCCAGGCCCCACGTTGCTCTGTGTGATGATGGGGGAGAGAATTCTCCAGAATTACTTTCCTGATGAAAAATGCTCCATAGGTTTTTTGCTTTTCTATTAGTGTACAATGTACAGAATAAAGTGAGCAAGTCTAAGGTGTATGGCTCACTGAATTTTTACATATGTGCACCCATGTACCTGCCATCCAGATGAAGATATAGAACGTTGCCCTGGCTGGGTAGCTCACTTGCACGGAGCAGTGTTCCATGCACCAAAAGATTGTGGGTTTGATTCCCAGTTGGGGCACATATATAGGTTGCAGGTTTAATCACTGGTTAGGGCATAGACTGAGTGGCCAGATTATTATGATCTCTGAATGCATAATAATCTGGCCACTCAGTGTATATAGAAGACAATCGATAGTTTTCTCTCACATCTATGTATGTTTCTCTCTCTCTCTCTCTCTCTCTCTCTCTCTCTCTCTCTCAATCTCTCCCATCCTCTCTCTAAAATCAGTAAAGCCATATCTCTGGGTAAGGATTAAAAAGAAAAAGAAAAATAGAGAATCTTGATTTTTAATGTATGCAAAAACACGATGATGCAATCTCATAAGTTTATATAAAACCAGAAAATGTCTACATTCTCAACATTTTTAAAACTCAGGAGTTTGGAATATGATGGAAATAGTTCCATTAACAAGCATTTCTCATGATCACAATGACTCATTTAAACCAAAAAAAAAGAAAAGAAAAAAAAGAAGCATACCATTGGTAAAGCATCCTCGCTTTCCGCCGGCCCCAGCTGTAAAAGGCACGATTGAACACAGCAGTTTGCCATCTGATGTGAAAAGGGGAGATGCTCAGGCCGTTGTTTTCCAGCCAGTCTTCGTAAGAATGCTTGAAATACACAGATGACTGAAAGAGAGAGAAACGGTCCACACCATTCAGTTTTGAAGAACAATTTATAATGTTTAAGAAAATAACAAATGGCTCTTTTCTATAGGAAAGCAAAAGACTGCCTGCTCAAATGCTAATAATGTTAAAGCTTCACGTTCATGCCTCAGTTAAAGGAAAGGCCTCACAGTAGCTGGTCTGCTGAAGTTAGGGTCTGGCAAACTAGAGCCCGGGGGCCAAATCTGGCCTACAGCCAATGAACGAAGGATGGTTTTTATCTTTCAGCGATTGTACAAAGACAGCAACAACTGCCAAATAAGACTATGCAACACCCCGTGTGGCCCACAACGCCTGAAACAGTATCTGACCCTTTACAGTAGGGGTGTCGAACTCAATCAGAGAAGGGGCCAAAATCTAAAATCCAGCCTAAATCGAGGGCCGAATGGTTTACTGAACAGTCATAAACTGTCATTGTGATGGAAACGCAGTGGAGTGCAGTGATGACAGCGCGGTGCGGGCCACACTGCAAGGCCTGGCGGGATGGATTTGGCCCGCGGGCCTTGTGTTTGACACATGTGCTTTACAGAGAAAGCTTGCTGACCTCTGCCTAGAACATGGGTCTTCAAACTTCTCTCATTATGAGAATCACCTGGTGGAGTTGTTAAAACACAGATTCCTGGATCCCAACTATAAGAAGTGCTATCAGGAATCTGTGTTTTAACACCTCCACCAGGTGATTCTCATAATGAGAGAAGTTTGAAGACCCCTGGCCTAGAAGGATGGCCCAAATATTATAGAAGTATGTGAGCCACGAATGCCAGCCACAATTCAATTTATGTAATTTTATATTTCCTTGTAGCCAATATTGAAAAGGTTGTAATTAATTTAAATACATTTTCAACTCAAATCAATATAAAAAAGTGTACTGGGTCAGTGGTCGGCAAATTCATTAGTCAACGGGGCCAAATATCAACAGTACAATGATTAACAGTTCTTTTGAGAGCCACATTTTTTAAACTTAAACTTCTTCTAACGTCACTTCTTCAGAACAGACTCGTCCAGGCCGTGGTATTTTGTGGAAGGGCCACACTCCAGGGGCCAAAGAGCCTCAGTTTGCCGACCACGGTACTGAGTGACATCAGAGGAATGGTGGCATGAGAGATCCCTTTGGTCTTTCCCCTTGAAGCTTCAACAATTTCAACAAAGGACTCCCTGCTCAAGGCACAAACATGCCTGAGAACCACACCCTGAGCATCTACAGGTGGGCAAGTGGGAGCAAACTGTGAAGGCTGGAAGGGAAAAGCGGAGACTAGCCCCAGACACGGCCCTGCAGCTGGGAACTCACAAAGGGCTCAGCGTGGAGAGGGAAGGAAGCAGAGATCCAATGAGCGTTCCTGCAGGTGCGGACAGTACAAGCTGCAGCTGAGCCCAGTGACCTACCTGGGCAGGACAAAGCACAGAGGTGGGCCCTCGGTTGTCTGGCAATCGGCATTCCAGGCAGAAAAAGCCACAGGGTCCAGTGGAGAAGGAGAGGGGGAGGGGATGGTGTGGGGTAGTGTGTGTGTGTGGGGGTGGGGTGATGGTGGATGGGGGGGCAGGGATGTCAGGGGGCGCGGAACAATGCAAAGGTCCACTGGTTGGCACTGACAGGAGGGCAAAGCAACAAAAGAGGTGGCCGGGTTCCCCATCACCCCACTGCCATGCACTTGGCTACATCGCCAGCAGCATATGGCTGCAGGGAACATCATATGGCTGCAGGGAACAGCATGTGGCTACAGGGAACAGCATTGTGGCTGCAGGGAACAGCATGTGGCTACAGAGAACAGCATGTGGCTGCAGGGAACAGCATGTGGTTACAGGGAACAGCATTATGGCTGCAGGGAACAGCATGTGGCTACAGAGAACAGCATGTGGCTGCAGGGAACAGCATGTGGCTACAGGGAACAGCATTATGGCTGCAGGGAACAGCATTATGGCTGCAGGGAACAGCATGTGGCTACAGGGAACAGCATTATGGCTGCAGGGATCAGCATTATGGCTGCAGGGAACAGCTATGGCTGCAGGGAACAGCATGTGGCTACAGAGAACAGCATGTGGCTGCAGGGAACAGCATTATGGCTGCAGGGAACAGCATTATGGCTACAGGGAACAGCATGTGGCTGCAGGGAACAGCATGTGGATGCAGGGAACAGCACTGGGAATAAATGAATATATAAATTCCTACATATATGTAACTTTCCTAGACTGAATCATGAAGAATTAGGAAACTTAAATAGATCAGTCAACTGTGAGGAAATTGAAAAATTACCAAAGCCTCCCCAAAAATAATAGTCTAGGACCAGGTGGCTTTGTTTTGAATTCTACCAAACATTTAAAGATTTGATACCTATCCTTCTCAAACGCCTCAAAAAAATTGGAGACAATACTTCCTAACACATTTTATAAGGCCAACATAACCCTGATATCAAAACTTGGCAAGGATAACACAAAAACAGAAAATTACAACATCTCTGATGAATACAGATGCAAAAATCCTAAATAAAACACTAGCAAATTGCATACAACAAAACATAAAAATAACAAAACATCATGATCAAGTAGGGTTCACTCCAGGGCACAAGGATGGTCCAACATATGCAAATCAATCAATGTAATACAGCACACTAACGAATCAAAGGATAAAAATCATATGATCTTATCAATAGATGCAGGAAAAGCATTTGATAAGATACAGCATCAATTTATGACTAAAACACTCAATAAAATCAGTATGAAAAGAAAGTACCAGATACCGAGTGGCCAGATTATAATGATCTTTGAATGCATAATAATCTGGCCACTCGGTGTAGACTGACCAGAGTTGGGGTTTTAAAATAACGTTTTTCCATGTATAAGAACTGCATTGTGGGTAGTTAGAAAGAAGCAGAGGACTTACTAGCCAGAGGCTGGGGGCTACTATCTCAGGGTCCCTTGACATATCAAGATTTGCAAGCTTTCCCTTATACATAAGTACTCGAAGTGGCCAGATTATCATGCGTTCAGAGATCATCATAATCTGGCCACTCAGTGTTTACGACAAACCCTCTGCTAATATAGTCAATGGTGAAAAACTGAAAGCTTTTCCTCTAAAATTAGGAACAAGACAAGGATGTCCATTCTCACTATTTATTCAACACAAAACTTCAAAATAAACAAAAATAAAAACAAATTATTACAGCCCAGGCAGCATGGGTCAGTGGTTGAGCATCGACCTATGAACCAAGAGGTCAAGGTTCAATTCCCAGGCAGGGCACATGGCCAAGTTGCAGGCTCCATTCCCAGTGTAGGATGTGCAGGAGGCAGCCAATCAATGATTCTCTCTCATCATTGCTGTTTCTATCTCTCTCTCCCTCTCCCTTCCTCTCTGAAATCAATAAAAATATTTAAAAAACTTGCCGAAACCGGTTTGTCTCAGTGGATAGAGCATTGGCCTGAGGACTGAAAGGTCCCGGATTTGATTCCGGTCAAGGGCATGTACCTTAGTTGCGGGCAAATCCCCAGTAGGGGGTGTGCAAGAGGCAGCTGATCGATGATTCTCTCATCGATGTTTCTAATTCTATTCCTCTCTCTTCCTCTCTGTAAAAAAATCAAAATATATTTTAAAAATTTAAAAAACTATTAGAAACAATAAATATAGTAACGTTACAGGATACAAAAATCACTGTATTCCTATATACTAACAATGAAAATTCAGAAAAAGAAATGAGAAAAAATTCCTTTTGCAATTGCAACAGAAGGAATAAAATACCTAGGAATAAATTCAACAGAGGACGTGAAGGAATTATATACTTAAAATTACAATGCATTATTAATATTTTATTTTATTGATTTTTTTACAGAGAGGAAGGGAGAGGGAGAGATAGAAACAGCAATGATGAGAAACATCAATTAGCTGCCTCCTGCACGCCCCCTACTAGGGATGTGCCGCAACCAAGGTACATGCCCTTGACTGGAATCAAACCTGGGATCCTTCAGTCCGCAGGCAGATGCTCTATCCACTGAGCCAAACCGGTTAGGGCTACAATGCATTATTAAAGATTGAAAAAGACACAATAAAATGAAAAGATATTTCATGTTCATAGATTGAAAGAATCAACAGTTAAAATTATATATATATATATATATATATATATATATATATCCCCAAAGCATTATATATAGATTTAATGTAATCCCCATCAAAATTCAAATGTCATTTTTTAAAGAAATAAAACAAAAAATAATCAGATTTGTCTGTAACAACAAAAGACCGGGAATAGTGAAAGCAGTCCTGAGATAAAAGAACGAACCTCGCCCTAGTTGGTTTGGCTCAGTGGATAGAGGGTCGGCCTGTGGACTGAAGGGCACATGCGGGGCCCAATCCCCAGTAGGGGGCGTGCAAGAGACAGCCAATTAATGATTCTCATCATTGCTGTTTCTATCTCTCTCCCTTCCTATCTGAAATCAATAGAAATATAGCAAAACAAAACAAAACAAAAATAATGAACCTGGAGGTATCACACAATCTGACTTCAAATTATACTTCCTGACAAAGATAATCAAAAGACAGCATGATCCTGGCAGAAAAACAGAAACAGACCAGTGGAACAGAATTGAAGGCCAATAACTAAAACCACATGTACATGGGCAAATGACTGTTTACAAAGGAGCCAAAAATACACAAGGAAAAGAAAGCCTCTTCTATAAATGGTGCTGGGAAAACTCGAAAGCCACATGCAAAAGGAAGAAACTAGACAGCTTATCCCCATGTGCAAAAGTTAATTCAGAATGAATCAAAGGCCTAAATATAAGATCTGAAACAATAAATTACATAGAAGAGAACATAGGTTCTAAACTCAGGGACGTTGGTCTTAGAGAAGATTTTATGAGTTTGAACACCAAAGGCAAGGGAAATAAAGGCAAAAATAAATGAATGGGACTACATAAAACTAAAGAAAGAAAAAGGCAATCAATTGAATGGGAGATAGTATTTACAAACAGTAGCTCCGATGTGGGTTAATATCCAAAATATATACAGAGCTCATACAACTTAACACCAAACAACACAATATATATATATATATATATATATATATATATATATATATATATATATACACACACACACACACACACACACACACACACACACACACACATCTATATCTATATCTATATCTATATCTATATCTATATCTATATCTATATCTATATCTATATCTATATCTATATATATGAAGAGCCCAGCCCTAGCTGGCTTGGCTTAGTGGATAGAGCTTTGGCCCGAGGACTTAAGGATCTCAGGTTTGATTCTGTCAGGGGCATATGCCTGAGCTTTGGGCTCGATCCCCAGTAGGGGGCGTGCAGGAGGCAGCTGATCAATGATTCTCATCATTGATGTTTCTCCCTCTTCCTCTCTGAAATCAATAAAAATATACTTTTTTAAAAATGAGCCCAGCAGTGGTTGAGCATAGACCCAGGAACCAAGAGATCCTGGGTTTGCTCGCCGTCAGAGCACACGCCTGGGTTGCAGCGGGCTCAGTCCCTGGGGGGGCATGCAGGAGGCAGCCAGAAGATGTCGCTCTCTCATCCATGTTTCTATCTCTCTATCCCTCTCCCTTCCTCTCTCTCTAATTAATAAAAACATTTTTTAAAAAATAGGCAGAGGACCTGAGCAGACACTTCTCTCAAGAAGATATACAAAGGCCAACAGATATATGAAAAGGTGTCCAACATCACTAGCTATTGGGGAAATGCAAGTCAAAACTACGAGATACTACCCTCTGCCCGTTAGAATGGCTATTTATCAGCAAGACAACTAATAACAAGCGTTGGAGAGGCCGTGGAGGAAAAGGAACTGGCTGTCCCTGCTGGGGTGAGTGTAAACTGGTATAGCCACTACGGAAAATAGTACGGAGGTTCATAAAAAAATTAATAGATACAAATGACCCAGAAATCCCTCTTCTGGATAACAATCCAAAAAATTTGAAAACATTTATTTGCATAGATATATGCACCCCTGTGTTCACTGCAACACTAATCACGGTGGCGGAGATATGGAAACAACCAAAGTGTCCTCTGATAAATGATTGGATAAATAACATCTGACACGTATATAATATGGAATACTACTCAGCCTGAAGAAAAGATGAGCTACTGCCATTTGCCACGTGGATTGAGATTATGCTATAACCCAAATAAATCATACAGGAAATAAGATAAGAACCATATGATTTCATTCATACGTAGGATATGAAACAGCACCATGGTTACCAGAGGGAAGGGGGTGAGGGTAATAAAAAGTAAAGCAAGCTGCAGAAACCGGTTTGGCTCAGTGGATAGAGCATCAGCTTGTGGACTGAAAGGTCCCAGGTTTGATTCCAGTCAAGGGCATGTACCTTGGTTGCGGGCACATCCCCAGTAGGGGGTGTGCAAGAGGCAGCTGATTGATGATTCTCTCTCATCGATGTTTCTAACTATCTCTCTCTCCTCCTCTCTATAAAAAAAATCAATAAAATATATATATTTTTAAAAACTCTTTAAAAAAAAAAAGTAAAGCAAGCCGAATATATGGTGATGGAAGATGATTTGACTTTGGGTGGTGGGCACAATGCAATATACAGTTTATGCATCATAAAAATCTACACCTGAGCCGAAACCGGTTTGGCTCAGTGGATAGAGCGTCAGCCTATGAACTGAAAGGTCCCAGGTTCGATTCCGGTCAAGGGCACATACCTTGGTTGCAAGCACATCCCCAGTAAGGGGTGTGCAAGAGGCAAGTGATCGATGTTTCTCTCTCATCGATGTTTCTAACTCTCTTTCCCTCTCTCTTCCTCTCTGTAAACAAATCAATATATATTTTTAAAAAATCTACACCTGAAACCTAGATCATCTCATTAACCAGTCACCCCAATAAATTTAATAAAAATTTAAATATTGTAATAATTTACAATTCTATTTTTTTATGCACCAAGACTTTGAAATCTGAAATCTGGTTTCAACTTTATACCTACAGCCCATCTCAATTCAGACCAGCTCCATTTCAAATGCCTGATGGCCACCTGTAGTTAGTGGCTACAGTTGCTACCATAGAAAGAGGTCTTGTGTTATAATTTAAATAGACCCCAACCAGTCAAACAAGAAACAGGTTAGTTGGAGTCAGCTTTCTATTCTTTTCTGAGCAACCTTAGGAATTTAAGCCTACTTTGATTATGTAAAAGAAAAAAAAAATTATCTAAAGCCAACTTGAGCTCAGTAACTTCTCTTATATTTTTTTAGAGTTGCCAAGACAGCTGCTTAACTACAGCCTCACAAGAGTTTTACTTTTAGAAAAGTTTGAAGTCCTTCAGTGCAGATTTTGGATAATTTTAGTCTATTTTATATACACAGACCCCTATTACTTCAGTTACAGAAAGTACAGTTAGTATTTTGTCCTATCAATGCCCATCCATTTGAGAAACTTATCTGTCTCTAGACGAATATTTCACCCCTATCACAGTCATAAAAAATGACCAGAGTCTGAATATAGGCATCTATTTGCCTTTGGATCTGGAATGCTCTCTGCTCTCAATCTTCAGGTGAAGTTTCTGAAACCTGCTTGTTTTCCAAGACTTTTAAAGGAGACTGACACCCCTCAAGGAGAGGTCCACAGAGGAAATCCTAAAAGAACCCAGAGTGGAACAGCAGAATAACTCCCTGGAACAGAGGAGCTGAAGGTTCAGACTCCAAAAGCTCTCAGGCCTTTGCATTCCCCGGGCAGATACGCTGAATAAGACGTTCTTTAGCTCAAGGAATGGTGGTCTTTTAAGCCAGGGGCTGTTCCTGAAACTCAAACGCCATCCTGATCACCTCACACCCTTGACCAAGGACTACACATGCAGCATGAAGAAACCCTGTGGCTTTGCTTTTTTCTAAACAACAAAACCACGGTTTAAAGAAGCAGTAGTCTGTATTGCTTATGACATGCTAAGCACTATGCCAAGCATGTGCAGAGGAAGCACCTAGGGCAGTGGTCGGCAAACTCATGAGTCAACAGAGCCAAATATCAACAGTACAACGATTGAAATGTCTTTGGAGAGGCACATGGTTTAAACTTAAACTTCTCCTAAAGCCACTTCTTCAACATAGACTCGCCCAGGCCATGGTATTTTGTGGAAGAGCCACACCCAAGGGGCCAAAGAGCCGCAGGTGGCTCGCGAGCCGAAGTTTGCAGACCACAGACCTAGGGAATCCCGTGAAGATGCAGAGTCTGATTCTATAGTCCAGAGATGAGCACTGAGATTCTCTATTTCTGAGAAGCTTCTAGATAATATAGGTGCTGCTGGTCCTTGAACCTCAGGTTGAGGAGCGAGGCTTTCTGTGGATGTACTAATGCACATGTGTCAAACACAAGGCCCGCGGGCCAAATCCATCCCGCCAGGCCTTGCAATGTGGCCCGCACCGCGCTGTCATCACTGCACTCCGCTGCGTTTCCATCACAATGACAGTTTATGACTGTTCAGTAAACCATTCGGCCCGCGATTTAGGCTGGATTTTAGATTTTGGCCCCTTCTCTGATTGAGTTCGACACCCCTATACTAATGCAACCTTCTCTACTACGTCAGGAAATCTTTGCTATTATCCCCCCCTACTTTAAAGATGAAGAATCTGAAGCCCAACAGTCTCACAACCACTGGGAAGCAGAAGAGCCCAATCCTGGATCTGAAGGACTCCACTGTGTAACCTTTGCAAGTTCAAATCCAACAAAGTAGACCAAGTATTTCATTTTACTCTTAAGCCTAAAACACAAACAAAACTATTTGAGACGATCTTCATGGCATGGTTTTACCAGTCGTAATGAACATTTTGATTAAACATTTGAGAATTTATATGCTTTGATTCCCCCACCCTCCGATATTCAATTCCAAAAAGATTGCTCAAAGCACATGGTCAATGGTCATAACTTTTGCTACCCTTTTCAAATAACTGGAGAATGGACCATGTACGCAGAGTGTGTGTGTGTGGGGGGGAATATAGTCAATGTGAAAAAGAGGGTGCATGATGCAAATTAGAATACGGTTAGTCAGGATTCTAAATCCTTGCTTCTAACTTAAGGTGACCAGATCGTCCCGCTTTCCAACAACTTTTCCCGCGTCCCGCGGGAAAAATTCTTAAAAAAGCGGGACGATCTGGTCACCTTATGCTAAATACTTATTACTTTAAAGTATAGGCTGCAGCCTGGGAAACACAGAACCTTAGGCCCCGCCCCAGAGCGGATGAATCAGAATATACATTGTAACCGGAACCCCCGAGGACCAGGTGCACTTGGACGTTTTCGACGTAAATCACAACTTGATTTCCATTCACCCCAACACCGGCTCTCCAGGGGGGTCGTGGCCTCGGAGACAAAGAGGGGGAACCATGCCTTTCCCACGCGGACATTTTCAGCCCTGGGGCACCGCCGCCGATGAAGGCAGCGCCCCGTCCCTCCGGAGACCACCGCCATCGCCTGCAGGACTGGCCCCCAAGGCTGCGGGGTACCGCCCCGCCATGCGACCTCGGCGGCAGCGCCGCCCGCCACACCCCTCCCGCCGCCCGCCAAAATGCGCTCCGCCGGCCCGGGCAGCACGCGGGAGGCCGCACGTGGACGCCCGCCCGCGGCTTCCCGCCCAGGAACCGCAAGGGAGAGGACAAAAAGCCTCGGGTCGTGCGCCCCAGTCCCGGGTGCCATGGACGCGGGCAGCGGCCCGGAGGCCCTCACCTTCAGCACCAAATCGGTCAGGTAGACGGCGGTCCAGCCGCCCACCACCACCACCACCAGCGACACCGGAATCATGGCAGCGACGGGGGCCGCGGAGGGCAGGCGAGCCCCAGCGTCGTCCTCCCCGCGAGCCGCGCCTGGAAGCGTATGCGCGACGCCTATAAGCGCACCATCTGCGCAGGAACGAGCCGGCCGCCGGCTCCTTTCTCGCGATGGTGCCGTTTCCCCCCGGCCTCTTCCGGTTCGACACGGGCCGACGCATGCGCGCCGGAAAAGGAGGCGGGGGCTTGTTTTGGTGGGACACTGGCGCGCTGACGTCCAGGCAGCTGTTAGGCTGCGGCTACTGCCGGCCCTCCAAGCGATTTCTTAGGCTTTGTCCCTCCCTGCTGTCTGCTCGTGTTCTGTTCTCTGGTTTCCTGTTGCTTTTTAGTCTAGTGAGAGTTTGGGGTCACCGCCACCTCCCAGACCTTGTTCTAGGTCTCCAGATTTAAGTTATTGCTTTTAGTTGTTCTTTTTATTGAAGTGGCATTTGCATTTGGTGAAATCACAATACAAAAGACAGCTGTCCCTTTCAGTGAGTTCTAATAAGTTTTATTGGTGTACCCTCATAAAAATAAAGAACATTTACATCAGGAATTTCCTTCCTGGTCAATCCCTCCTCTCTATGTAAACAGAATCATACAATAGGCATTCTTTGTGTCTGGCTTAATTTTGCTCAACAAAATACAGGGAGGGACAAAAGTAGGTTTACAGTTGTTGGTACGAAAAAATAAAACACTTGCCCTAGATCATTTGGCTCAGTGGATAGTGTCAGCCTGTGGACTGAAGGTTCCCAAGTTCGATTCCGGTCATGGGCACATGCCTGGGTTGCGGGCTCAATACCCAGTGGGGCGTGCAGGAGGGAGCTGATAAACGATTCTCTCTCATCATTGATGTTTCTATCTATCTCTCCCTCTCTCTTCCTCTCTGAAATCAATAAAAATGTTTTAAAATAAAACAATAAGTAGCAATACAAGAATAAACTATGTTTCACATACTCGCAACTGTAAACCTACTTTTGTTAAACAATGCATTTGAGAGCTGCGGCGGAAGGAGGAGAATTTGAGACCCCAATATATGCCTTTTTGGTATATTATTTTAAACTGGTTATTAAAAACAGACAAGAGAAGCTCTAGAAACCAATTAGAAGTTACCCGTTGGTAAGAGGCATTTACATTTTTAAAGGGAATCTTCATCTGCAAAGGTGTGGCCCTCTCAGTTCCAGGAAGGGTAGCAGGAACACTATCACTTTATCAATGGGGAGGGCAAACACCTTAATCCTGCATAACCATTATCCTTATTTACTGTGCTTTTCTGGTCACCGCCCCTACTGGCCTCCTCCCAAACCCCAATATCCTGTCTTCAGCTGGAGATAATACTACAGGTGGTGGCTTTAGCCATTTTGGAGATATACTCAGTTTTCCTGAATCTACAGGTTATTAAACTTTTATTTTTATTTTTAAAAAACAGTATATGATTATATTTAATACACAAGTTTGATACAACCAAAAAGTAAAACACCAGCCGAGACCTGTTTGGCTCAGTGGACAGAGTGTAGGCCTGCGGACTGAAGGGTCCCGGGTTCGATTCCGGACAAGGGCATGTACCTTGATTGCGGGCACATCCCCAGTAGGGGGTGTGCAGGAGGCAGCTGATCGATGATTCTCTCTCATTGATGTTTCTAACTCTCTATCCCTCTCCCTCTCTGTAAAAAATCAATAAAGTATATTAAAAAAAAAAAAAAGTAAAACACCAGAGTAAAATAGTAACAAAAACATGGTATTTCATTTGCAATGCATGAGAAATGGTGAACATCTTTAGTGATAAACAAGCTCTTAAAAAACAGTGACACTACAATAATGCAAGGAAACTGGGAAAATGAAATGAAGAGGTGATGAGGAAGCAGTGAGTTAAACTTAAAAAATCCTCACCCAAGGATGTTTTTATTGATTTTTAGAGAGAGAGGGAGGGAAGGAGAGAAACTTCAGTGTGATTGGTTTTCTCCCATACATGCTGGGGATCATACCCAAAACCTGGGTATGTGCCTTACCGGGGAATGGAACCCAGCACCTTTGGGTGCATAGGATGATGCTCCAACCGGGACTGGTTTTGTTGTTGTTGTTTTAAATCCCATAGGAGCTGCTGTTAAGCCCTGTCACTATAGGTCCTACATTTGGCATTAGAAAAAATATCTCGTCCCAGTATTTCATATTTATTCCTATTAATGTCCATTTAAAATTCCTTTTTAAAGTTATGTATTATGATTTGACATCAACATCATTATTGAAATTTTTACCATTCAAGGAGTTTTGTAAAGATCGAAACAAAAAGTAATCAGATGGTGCAAGGTCAGGACTATATGGTGGATGTGGCAAAACATCCCAACCAAGCTCCATTAATTTTTGCCGAGTGACCAAAGATGTGTGTGGCCTTGCATTGTCATGATGGAATACAACACCTTTTCGATTTGTCGGGCCGCTTTTCTTCAACTGCATTGTTTAATTTCGTTAGTTGTTCAATGTAGACATCAGAATTGATCGTTCGGTTGGGTGGTAAGAGTTCAAAGTAGACAATTCCTTTGTAATCCCACCAAACTGATAACAAAACCTTCTTTTGATGAATATCAGCTTTTGATGTTGTTTGAGTTGGTTCACCTGGCCTGCTCCACGATCTTTTCCGCTTGATATTGTTGTAAACAACCCATTTTTCATCGCCAGTTATCAGTCGTTTTAAAAATGGATCATTTTCATTACGTTTCTTTAGCAAATCGCAGCTGCTAATGCGTTGCGTTAACTGTGATTCTTTCAGTTCGTGAGGAACCCATGTATCGAGTTTTTGAACATAGCCAAGTTGTTTTAAGTGACTTTCAATGCATGTATGTGATACATGAAGCTTCTCTGCAATCTCACGTGTTGTACTGTGACAGTCCGAATTGATTATTGCTTTGATTAGGGCGTCATCAACTTCAACTGGACGACCAGAGCGTTTTTCATCTTTGAGTGAAAAATCACCAGAACGAAATTTGGCAAACCAATTTTGACACTGCCGTTCTTTTAAGGCTTCGTCACTATAAACAGCACATAACTTTTTATGAGCTTGCGATGCGTTTTTCCCTTTGCGGAAATAAAAAAGCAAAATATGACAAAAATGTTCCTTTTGATTTTCCATTTTTCAACGAACGCCAAACGAAAACTACAAAACAGATCAAAAAACTTTTTTTACTGATTAACAGCTGAATAGCCAACTATCAAATAACAAAATGTGTTTTACATTTGTACTACGTCTGCAAACCTAAAAATTCAACTGAAGCCATATATGTGTGAAGCCCGCAATTACTTAGTTGCCGACCCAATAGCTTAGAGCAATTGAATCAGAATCTCATCATGGAATACAAGCATTAGTATTTTTTAAAATATATTTTATTATTTTACAGAGAGGAAGGGAAAGAGAGAGTTAGAAACATCAATGAGAGTCATCGATCAGCTGCCTCCTGCACACACCCCCACTGGGGATGTGCCCGCAACCAAGGTACATGCCCTTGACCGGAATCGAACCTGGGACCCTTCTGAGCCAAACCAGTTTCGGCAAACATTAGTATTTTTTTTTTAAGTTCCTTAAGTCATTCCACTGTGCAGCCAAGACAGAACCACTGAACTAGATGGGAAGGAAAATGAAGATTTATGGAGTGTTTTCCTGCATTCTCTTACTGTTCAAGCCTTTAAAGGTTATTTGTTCTACCTTTTCTGGAAAAGCATCATCAATAAAAATACTAATACCGGCCCTGGCTGGGTTGTTCAGTGGGGTAACTCTGTGTGGAATAAAATCATATAAATTCTCAAATGCTTAATAAAAATGTTAATTATGAATAGTAAAACCATGTCATGAATATCATCTTAAATAGTTTCGTTTGTGTTTTAGGTTTAATAGTAAAATGAAATACTTGTTCTACTTAGTTGCATTTGAACTTGCAAAGAGAGGAGATTACACAGTGGAGGAGTCCTTAGATCCAGGATTGGGCGCACTCTCTCTCTCTCTCTCTCTCTCTCTCTCTCTCTCTCTCTCTCTCTCTCTCTCAAAAAACAAAAAAAACAAAAACAAAAAAAACTAATACCCAAATATCAAGGACATAATACTATCTTAAGAACAATTATCCCAAATAGAAACACACCTCTGAAGCATCCTCTAGAGCAGTGGCTCTCAACCTTTCTAATGCAGTTTCTCATGTTGTGGTGACCCCCAACCATAAAATTATTTTCGTTGCTACTTCATAACTGTAATTTTGCTACTGTTATGAATCGTAATGTAAATATATGTTTTCGGATGGTCTTAGGCTCTACAGCAGCAGTTCTCAACCTGTGGGTCGCGACATTAACTGAAAAAAGGAAATTGAAATACGTTTACTGTTCAAAAAATTTTAAGATCAAATAAGCATGAAGGAGATTGAAATAATTTTACTTTCAAATGATGTTTTGTGTACGTTTGCAGAATTTGTACTTCTGAAGTTATTAAAACCTAAAATTGCATTAACACTACTGGTGCACAATAGCATTTGAGCTGACCTTTGCTCTTAAACACTGAGTGGCCAGATTATTATTTATTATGATCTCTGAACACATAATAATCTGGCCACCCAGTGTGTGTGTGTGTGTGTGTGTGTGTGTGTGTGTTTAGAGGCCCAGTGCATGAATGCATGAATTCGTGCATGGGTGGGGTCCCACCAGCCTGGCCAGGGGGAGGGGACATGGGCGGTTGGCCGGCCTGCCTGCTGGTCAAACTCCTGGTGGAGGAGACAATGTGCAGATTAGCCTTTTATTATATAGGATATACACTGAATGGCCAGATTATTATGCATTCAGAGATCATAATAATCTGCCACTCAGTGTATAACTCCCTGGGAGAAGAATATTAACTTAAGAATGGAAATGTCTTCTCTTTTGTTAGCCTGCAGCCTTGTCTGGACCACTTGCTGGGACACGTACCAGCTGCTGTGGAGCTATCTGATTACCCCAAATATGAAGTAAATAAGTTGATTGTGTTTTTCTGTTCCAAACCTAAAAATTTGCTTATTCAACTGACTTAGTGTTCTCATCAGGGACCCAGCAGTCAAAACAAAACATTGAACTGAATCCTGCTGGTTTTGGGAATTTATCAGTAGTGGAAGCCAGCTGGTGGCAGCAGAAGAGACA